CAGCATTTTCCGGACACTCTGCTGTTATTACATATTTATTGCTCCACGTTCTTAAACTTACCAAGGTCGATGAGCAGGATGGAAGTTTTGCTGGGCTTTGATTTCGACATCAAAAATCTTGGTCTGATCTAAAATCCATAATTAATCCTCCAGTATTAGAAAGCTCAGTATCTGTTTGATATTTGAGACACTGCAGCTTTTTCACATAACAGCTCCCCCTTGTGGAATAACATGAGAATGATAATTGGGTAAAAGTTTTAAACAAACGAATACAGTATATATAGATATATACATAATTAAAGATGAATGATAAATAAACAGAATATGTATATATATATATATACTGCATATATTTATATACACACACACTGTATGTGGTTTATTTCTGGCGTCTGACTCCAATAACCGTGTTGAACCATACCTGACTATTGAGTAATTTATTTATTTACATTACATGACTTATAACTAAAATCCACGTCATGCTGCTCCTTCATTCCAGTTAGTGATCGTACTTTATTTGTCCAACATTTCCATCCTGGAGGAGGATGCTTCTCGTAAATTCCTCACAGCCGACAGTCGTGTGCAGTGATTCTCATTTTCCCAGCCCTCTCAGGACGGACTCGATTCCTTGTAAGGAAATAAATGACACAAATAAAGAATTCTTTATGGGATCATATAAATGTTGCTCTAGTTTTGATGGTGGTTTTTTTTAATGTGGCCCCTGTTGTTTTCCCAGGCTGCTCGGAGAGAAGAATACTGTATAATATAGCTTTGATATATATTTTCCTCGCTTCATTGATATAAAAACAACACATCCACTCCCTCTGCTCCTTCTGAGCAACCCACATATTCTCATTCTCATAGTTTCATCACAGTCTTTTATCGGCCTTCCCTCTCTGAACCTTATCCACTCTGACATGATCTCCTTGACGCGTTGCCAAACCTTTGCAACTTGACTAAAACGGCATGACTCATTTACGGATGGGCCTATTGTAAACACGCTCTGCCTCACAGGTGATAACAGATCTTAAAAAATGTGCAATTTACATTTTTCACTCCCTTTTAACTCTGTGTGAGTTATTACACCAGAGCTAACTGTGTAAAGAAAAGCGATGAGTGGAGTGTTAGCAGGTGTGATTCGTCCTCGGCACAGAAGGAATTCTTAAAAGAAGCTGTTTGCGTAATGACACCAGAGATACGTTTCTGGCCTTTTACATGTTTAACAATGTATATGAGCTGCTTCTCATTCTGACATCACGACAGGTTACGACCTGAAGTCGACTGAAATCCAGGAGCTGCTGCAACACAGACGTATCATCTTACAACAACTTCCACCTGGTCTGAAGTCATGCATCTCTACGCTGGGTCATTTGCATTCAATGGGCAGAGATCTGAATATTCTGTGGATCTAAAACACATACAAATTAATTCTGTGCAGGGACAAAGGAGGATGGCTCACTCAGCAGCATCAACATTAAATACTTGAAGTGATGGTAACTAGATACCGACCGATGTGTCGGCAGATATGAGGCTTTCGCAGACATATCAGCATGATGTACATCAATGGGGAGTGGAGACTTTTATTTTACAGAATCAGCTAGAGGGGCTCAGAGACCAACAGTCCTCTTATGAAATCACATTTAATTTAACTAGATCCAGAGTTTTTTTGGGGGGGATCATAAAACATCAGTCCAATAAATATTTCTATTTTGATATAATTCTCTGATAATTCGACAAAAATGTGGGGGAAAAAAACGTCTTATCTCTCAAAAGAAAATCCTAGAACCAACCTCGTGATCCAGTTTTGAACCAGCACCAAAACCTCGTTCTCCTGCCAGGTTTTGTGATAATCAGTCCAGTGGTTTTGTGTAATCCTGCAAACAGACAGCCAGACAGAGAAAATAGAGACACAGACAAAACATAACATCGTTGGTGGATGTAACACAGATGTTAAAGTTCTATATATTTTATTGAATTTGTGTTTTCTTTTCATCTATACTTAGTTATGGTTTATTGATAAACTGTAAAAATAATTAAGTTAAATTACATTTCTTTGTCATAAGGTTTTTAATGATGACATCTCACTTTAAGTATCTTCAGATAAAATATTAAATGGAGTTCTGTGAGGCTTGATTGTTGTCTGTTCCCTTGTTCAGTACCTTGTCTTCACTTCTGCAGATTGAAAGATAACATTATCGACCTCAAGGCAGCACGAGGTGACGAATCAGAGGATCGGTTATTCTGAGCAGAACAAAACTGTCTGCACCAACGTCCATATCATCCAAACAGACTCGCAGCCGTCAATCCAGTGGATTCCGTCCAAACCACAGATGTGAACCTCTCTGTGAAGAAAGCTGGTGATTCAGGGGAGAAACCTTCAGAAGTGATGTGGCCTGTGTTTAGTTGTGTGGTCATGTGGTCGTACATTTGTTTATGTGTGTCTACACTGAAGTCATGACATCTGCTCGCAGGTAGCCATTGCTGCATTTTCAAGGGTTATAAAATTATATCTTCATACACTATTTATAATCCTTTCATTAAATCTTTGGAACCATTGCTGTGCATCGTAAAGATTTTGCCATAAAACGCTGCTTGTCCTTCGATATTTGACACAACACATGTTGATCGTGCTGTTACTATGATGATTAATATCCTATCCTATGACCATGACGCCTAAAGCAAACAATTAAAGGGAAGGCACGATTCAGAAAAACTGTTATGTTACTACGCAACACGCTTCTGAACAGGTACGACCAGCTTTCAACCTCGTGTTCACACTATATTACAAATGCACTTGTTAAACTGAGAGTGAACCCCAGGTGTTGGACACAGAAGCAGATGATGACAAACTGTATATAGGCATTTGGAGAGGGACAGTTGTGGCATCTGAAGATATAAATGTAAGGTTTTACTTCAGATAATAAACCCTAATGAAGTCCACTGGCACATTAAGCCAGTGTGCTACCTTAATGAGGCATTAAAAGGAAGAAACATTGACTTATTGAACACACCAGCTTATGAAACGAGCTCGTAAAAGGAGGGATGACTTGTTCAAGTCAATATAAATAACAGAAGTTACAATCCTCACTCCTTCCCTGCCTGAGGCCACTGGCAGAGCAGGAGGTCTCTCAATCTCCATGTGCACTTTCTCAGACCGCAGCGCCCCCTACTGGAGAGCAGCCCTCCAGCTCTGCACACAGTGGGCCTGTGTTTGTTTATTTTGCTGCCGAGTTCCTTGCGCAACTATTTTTTGAGGAGAGAATGACCCTAATCCTCATAAATCAACAAAGACCAGAGGAGGGGAGTGTTTTTTATTACTCCAGGCAACTTCATCCCATGAATGAGGGGGAAAAATCACTGTGATGCCAACATAACACAGAGAAAAACAATGGCTGAAGACTCAATACACATTATAGTCAAAGCCGGTCGCTCGTTAGGATAGATTTTCATTTAAAAGCCTTAGAATAACAAAAAGATCCTAGAAATGACAGCATGGAGAAAATAATCACTGAGTAACAAAAGATAATGGGATGGAGAATTGTATCTGGGGATGACTGGGGAAGACAATACAAATAAAATAATAATAAATGTTTATAGCAACAAGCTAAGACAAACAATATCAGGTCCAGTAATAATTCTGGTGGAAATATTTAGACAAATACGCTTTATAAGCAACCAGGAACAGAACCAATGCTGGAACATATTAGTTTGACTTTCAATATTTTCAAATACAAACAATTCATATATACTTTAGAGTTTTCAAGCTTAAACTACTACACTTTGGTGTTACCAGCATCACATGTAAAAGAAACTGCCGGTCACATTCATTGAGATATTTAGAGAGCTGATTTTGGATTTGAGGATATTATAAAGTTTTTTTTTTATATTTGTATTTAAACTTTCTGACATTCTACGGACAATTATTATTTCAACAATCTCAAGAGTAAATTATAGTCACTGGTCATGTAACAATGTAAGAACAGCTGAGCGCTGAGTATTAATGTAGTATTGACTACTGAGTTCTGATGTGATAATGTAGTAATAACTGAGTACTAAGGTAATGATGCAGCAATAACTACTGAAGGCTGATGCATAATAAAGTATTAACTGTGGAGTGTTAATGCAATGTAAGTAATAACTACTGAGTACTGATGTTATAATGTGGTGATAACTGCTGAGCGCTCAGGTAATAGTATAGACTGAATACTGTACACTAGATGAATACTGAAGGTTGTATGTTTAATTTTGCTTTTTATATATTGTCTTCTGTCCCTTGGAAGTACTTTGTACACATACTTCACGTGCCTTTTTCCAGCGTACTTTGTCAATAAAGTGTTGATTTGACGTTTAAGTTTGTGATATTAGTCAGGTGAGGTTCTTTGCTGATGATACTTTATATATAACGGTGAAAACTGCATGAAAAACCTGCAGCTTTGACCCAAAACAGTACTCTGTAATGTTTGTAAATACTTTTCAAAGACATCACATTTTGTGAAACTGGTGGATTTTTCTGCCCGAACATCTGAAGGCAGAATTTGCTTCAACATTTCCATTTCCAGGAGACACTAGAAATAAACTTTCATACTGAGTCACTGCAGAACAGCAGATAGGGACGAGAGTTTTGGAGGCAGCGGCAGTTGTTCCTACTTTGAATGTATAGATTGTGTTGGACTGTTATGATAGATGCATCAAATATTCATAACCTTGTGCACAGTGTATACAAGCAAGGTTTGGTCGGATTCCTGCTCAGTGCAGTCACAGCACAGCATTCATCAAACTGTGGGTGACATCCAACACATACAAAACAGAAGAATCACTCATTCTACGCATTTCCTTAAGTTCAAGGTTGAAATCAATTGTTTCTTTGGCTTTTACTCCACATTGAGTGTTTTTGATTTAACGCAGCTACCCATGACAATAAGTGCATCATACTCTGCTCATGTCTTACTCATCGGGCTCGTGTGCTAATAATCAAATTTAATAAGAAGAAAATTCACAGATGTCAGTCCAAAATGGTTTATTTTGTAAAGGGGGCAGTTGGAGGAGATGAGAAAACATGGTGCGCTACTAAATGATGATATATTCAAATGTACATGACATTCAAAGGGTATTACAGTTTCACTCGATTTTCCACACATGTAGTTAAGTCTTCATTCCAACATGTTTTCCAAGTGTAAATGGATAAAAAGTTTGTATATTTTCAAAATAAAAAATATAAACACAATAAATTCTCAGAATGCTGAAAACAGAAATAACAGTTACATGCAGAATGTAGACTGATGAGTTAATTTTCTTGAGAAAAAAAGGAAATAAAAAAAGGTGAATTACTTACACATCTTGTAAATTTGGAGAAGATTTAGAGGTGAATCCTTCTGCCCTTTTGTCCTCATATTTCACTCACATTAGCAGAAACTGCATTGTTTCAGACTTTTATCACTATAGTGTAGGTCAATGGGAAATTTAAGAAACTGCTATTAATGACAACTTGAGTGGTCTTGGCTAGCCATTACAAGCAGCACACGTGTTGAGATGCTTCATGAAAATGACGGCCCAAAATAAATTACATTTTCCAAAACCTAACGCACAGACGGGTTGGGATGGGGAAGGAGGGAGGATGGGACTCGATGTAGGAACAAATGACTGGATGACTAGTCAAATACACTGTGAATGAAGCTCCTCTGGATGTGTGGTGTCCAGAGGCACGGCTGTAGAGTGAGTAAAAAGGTCCCAAAGTAGAAACTGCAGTCTTAACATGTGCCATACTTTAAAATGTAGAGGAAAACACCCTTACGCTCATCAATATGATGAGCAGAAAAGTCCCAAACCAAAGCTTTGAAGTCTTTATTTTTGCTATAGGGGATAGGAAAAAAAAAAAAAAAAAATACTCGAAAACAAAAATAAAAACACAAAAAACAGGAGAGGGAGGGAAAAAAAAGACTCCAGATATTACGCTGAATGCAGAGAAGATGAACTGCACAAGTTGGGTGAGACACTCCGGCACAGGGGGTTATTTCCTGGAGCTAGACTTCTAATATCCAAAAGTACTGGTCTGGAGGACCCATGTTGGTCAAGGGGTGTCCATGGAGATGCCTACAGCAAAAAGCTTTAACAGCAGCATCTTGGCAGGCTGTCCACGAGTGACGCTATGTGCTTCCTGCTGCCTGGCTCTCTTCTCCCTCTGAATTACCTGCAGGAAGATGAGTGACAGCAGGTTGACAAACGTTTTGTCGGCGAGCGGTCTGGATATGTGTCCTTTCAGCTGGCAGTTCATGATTAGGAAGCTACAACTAATGCAGTCTGAAACAACAGCAGCTATATCTTTCCTTCACAATGTTCAGTTTATTTTTGAATTCTTTGAAAGCATTGATTCGCCTTAATGACCATGTTGGAGGAAGTAGTTTGTGATAGTGTTGTGTTATACAACAGGTGTTTGTTATTTAGCCTTCCTGCCATGATGAATGGGTCTCTGTATAACACAACATTACATCACCGCAAAACTGTAGCCTCCAAACAGGAAGTTAAATCATCACCTCTCGAAAAACTGTTTCAACACTCAACTGAACATCATAACAAGAGATCAAGAGATTTGTTACAGGATACTTGTATTACACTGCATTTGTTTATGCTAGGTTTTCCTAATAAACTGCCAACTGAGTGTATATCAGCAATGAAATAAACTGTAAATGAACTTAATTTAAAGCAAAGCAGAGAAATTCCAAACACACACTTGAACCAAGAAATAAAAATCACTGACTTGTAGCAGGAGCGGAGGCTGGGGCTGAGGCTGAAGGAGAGGCATTGTCATCCTCATCGCTGTCATCCTCGTTGGACTGTGGTACCTCGGCCTCAGGGATGGTTGTTGCCGGTGTCTCGGGCTCCTGCTCCACCCTGCTCTTCAGGGCCAAGATACGGTGATGTAACGCTGCAGCCAGCTGACCTACGTCCTTAGAGCTACCCTAAAGGAGAGAGACACGGGTACAGACAAGTCAGCCACACTGAAGAAGAAACACAAACCAGAATGTAGAGCACATTCCTCCAACAAGGCCAAAGAACACAGTTCTCTTGCTCTCATGATGGAAAATAAAAAGTGAAGCACTCTGATAGTAGTCACCAAATTGCACAAACTCATAGATCTTAACAAATATGTAAAGATCAAAAAGCCTTGCAACGTTAAATGATTCAAACAATTCCAGGATTTGCAATTGAATGTATTACTAAAATATAAAAAGTCTGTTTAAAATAAATCCCTGATTCTCTCTGCAGTTGAGGTAACAATGATCAAATGTGGACAAGCAACATCAATTACCCTTGTTTAAAGAGGACAGACGTACCGATATTAGGAAGACCTTGACCCCCTGGTCTTCTGTGTCCATGGCAGTGATTCGTACACTCTTCTCGCTGGCCTTGTCCACCTGCATCTGGGGCCAAAGTTTAGTGTTGAGAATCAACCGGAGGCTGCCCTGGGTCCTCATCACTGGAAAAATGTAACCACAAACAGCAGCATTGAATTACAGGAGCAACCAGCCACATGATTCGCTGTGTTTTTAGTCTGTGTCACTCTACCTGACTATGATCTCAGTAGTAACTGGGATAAAAATAGTAGTAACTATAGTGTGGATATTACAAGTGACTATGTTGTGTGACCTTAAGCATAAATACAGGAGTAAGAAATGTTACCTAATGAAAACACAATCTAAAACTGTGATATACCAAAACATGCCAAAAAAAACTATATTCTTTTAAAAATAAAGAAAAATTTCAAAATCTATCTGATGACTTTTTTTTTTTTTACCCATCACCAACCATTTAGTGGGTTGAACAGTTTGTTGTGGCATTTAGTCCACTAAAGGGCTCCCCCTTGTGTTCAATGTCTTGTAATAAACATGGCAATTGTTATGAACTATCTAATCACAGCTCTTTCTAGCAAACAAAACCAACCAACCAGAAAATACATGCATTCGAACAGTTATCACAGAACTATAGAAAAATGATTACCTAGACGGGACTGTAGCGAGCCGTCATCCGTCGATGCCATATCATTGAGCCTCAGCAAACCCCGACCTCTCTCTATCCACGACTGAGCGGTTTTCTCAAAAACATACAACTTACACTGCATCTGTAGAAGACGTGCAGACAAACAAGGACTGTAGCACTTCCTGACACATTTATTTAGTGCATGTCATGACTCAAGAGAGCCCGCCCTCTACCTGTAAAACATTGCTTTCTGATTCCTCTCCAGTTTTGACGTCGACTTTCTCTAAGATGCACTTCTTGGCTGTGGCTTTGGTGTACGCTGCTGCAGACTCCTCCAAAGACTCCGAGACGCTGTTCACTGCTGAGATGAGACACGTCAGTGAGAAATTAGCGCCTTGCTCAAGATGTTTGGTCCCTTCACTTTTCATCAACTCGTGTGCGTGTTTGAAGTCTACTCCTCCTTCCAGGATATTATATTGTGACTCAAAAACAATATTTTCCGCAGATTGTGGACTAGACAGTGCTGTAACTGTGAAGGACACATGGAGGCACTCAATGACTCTCTCCAGAGCTGCAGAGGCCGCTGCTGATCATTCACAGAAAAGATCCACCTCTCACTTTAACGAATGTCTGAGCAGGCAGCAGCTATGAAATGCTGAATTTCTTTTCATTGTCACTCTCAAGGTCCAAAACTCTATGTTCAGCATTATCTCATCAAATCAGGGACCCCAAAAAATATATACAGAAGATAGAATATTGGCCTTGGTTGCAGTGTATGTTTTCATGACTGTTTGAGCTACATTCACAGTCCCTCATGGTAAAACATTCATCAAACCCAATCTTGCAGTATTCTTACATTTGGAATCTGTTATTTCTTCTCTATAACAAGCAGGAGATATTTCCAAATGATTTGAATTCACTTCACACTCACACAAATGTGACACAATCCTCTGTGGCACCTTATTCCTATTTAGCAGTAATTTGTATGCACTGTGAATAAACTGCGAGTCTGATGGGAAAGAGAGGGGACAGTTAAATTCCCTCTTTAGTGTGAAAATGTAAATTAAATCAGTCACTGCTATCAATACAGAAACCTGCATTAATGTTTAATGGTTGGGGTGCATCACTGGTGCTATGGAATGTGCATCTCAGATTGAGTATTTATTGCACACACAGCTCTTTAGGCTGAAATAATCAAACACTACATTACTAAACTACTAAATTTGATGCTGATATCAAAAGACTTGATGTAACTTGTCCAATAGATGAAACATATTTCTGTTGCTGGACTATAATGTCTGATAAACTGATTGTACAAAATTGTGCAAGGTCTTTTTTATTGTTTAGAATTGTGAAGCCAGGTGTCTCTAAAATTAATAGTCTTATCAAACACCAAGCATAGTTTGAGTAATCAGTGAGGTTGTGTTTTTACCCTTCTCTGGGGTGGTTTCCTGTGATGAGGGCTCCGAAGCAGGAGTAGCCGAAACCTCTTTATTTTCCTCATTTGCAGACTCACCCTTGGGAGGGCTCTGGAAATACAACAAACCGTGTCACTGGAACTCGTTCAAAGCTGAATAATTAGGAGTGTTGCCGATTTGGCAAATTGCAGACTGTCTATGCAACAGGCTGTTTGACTCACCAGAACTCTTTCAGACATGTTCTGCCCAAAAACAAATTTTGCTCCACTGTCTGTACTGTTTGTGGCATTTTTTGAACTGAAAAGGGAAGAAAAAAAAAAAACAGTAGTGAGTTTATGGAAGTTAATCATAAATGAAGATGAGTTTCTAAAAATACTCAAAGGAGGACAAGCTCATTACCTTGGGGTAGAGATGTATTGTAAGAAATAATTAGTGCCCTCTGATTGAGAGTCCAGTGGCACACCATCCTTTGACTTGCCTTCTGTACTGTTTTCCTCCACCTAGAAAAAACTCTGATGTGTTAGATATGGAATCACGCAAAATCCAAGCTTAAATACAAACAAACACAAATTCACGAATCTATATTTAATGCAATCCTGACTAACATGTTGCAGTGCTAGTGACAAAATGTGGACCATGAAAAACTAACATAGGGTGGAAATTCAAATAAGGTGGAAAAGTCCTTCCTGTGAGAGCCACCTCTAATTGGGATAATCTTTTTGTTTGTCACATATCAAGTTTGCATGCTCTGTGTAAATCTAACTGGTGTGAACAGTTGGAGAACAACTTACTTTTGCTCTGTCTTTGATATTCTGACCAAACACAAAAGATATTGCTTCATCTGTCTCCTTCTTCTCTCTCCCACCTCCATCGCTGTTACCACTTGCTCCATCTTCCTCATTTTCATGTTTCTGAGACAAGAAAAACCAACAAACAAAAAAACAAAAACAATCCTCTTTTGTCAATTTTCACAATTTTTTTTTTTTTTACCACATGGCAGTTTTATAAATACTCTTTGCATTTCTTCTTACGACATCATTACAAGCACAAAAATATCCATAAGTCTTCAGATGTTGTGTAATGAGCTTCAAGTTTTGTGATTTCCCCACATTTCCTGAAGTCCGTACTGAACTGACTTGACAAAACAAAGCCATTTCTAAAAGCAGATGTAGGCACTCACCAGTGACTTGGTGGCCGAGTGCTCTGTGTTGTTCAGGAAGAGGGACTGTGTCACAAGTGCCCCATCTGATGACTTTTTCACACCATTGGTTCCACAACTGGAATCTTTAACGTACAGACAAAAAGAAGATTGATCATTTACATTATTGTTTGTTTACCGTCCCTACTGAAACTGATCCTGTGACACACATGCAGAAAACACATAAGTCATCAGTATTGACAGATAAAGAAATATCAGACTAAGAAGATTTTAATGAGGAATAAAAGTTTTTATCAACTAATGCGGGCAGGTGACTCCAAGCTAACTCACTGGACTCTATATGTGATTTAGAGGGTGGTGCCTGGAGAACTGCAGGGCGGAGGACACTGCGTTGTTGCTCCTTGGGTTTCTGACTTGGGACACCTGCAAAAGACAAAACTTGTCTCATACTTTTTTTTTAAAGCACAATAAGATGTTTTACGTCTACGAGGTCAGGTCTAGATGTACCTTTTCCACTTGTGAGAGGGGTCATATAAATGAGTGTAAGTCTGGGCTCAAGTTCATGAATTTGTTTTCCATTTCAGTAAACTCGGTGAGAGACAATCTTTATGAATGAAACAACCAACCTGAACTTGGTGCCTGTCCATGTATGAGAGTTGGTGGCTTTAAACGGAATCCCACAGGCTTCTCCTCTGGCGAGTTAGAGCACAGGAGGAGACAGACATTAAAAAAAGATCCAAGAGTTACACAGCAACTTACAAAGGGTACATTCCCTTTGTCTTTGCACTTTTAAAACCACAACATCAGTTACCACAACAACCCTTGTAGAGCCTCAATAGTTGTCAAGCGCGCCGACTCCTGTGCCATAACATGACGGGCTCTAGGGCCTCTGATCTATTTCTACCTCTGTCTCTCCATCTCAGCAGCTTTATTAGCCTGGCATGACCTGGACTAAACCAGTGCTTAAGTACAAAACCTAAACACTGCAACTCCCCTTTCCCTCAACATTTATGAGCTTATCCCCATGTCGAGCAAACATTCATGTTTAATTATATTTCATACTGTGTTTCCTCAGCACAGACCCCAAGCTACCAAATTCATAGGACAAGGAAGAACTACACACAGTTGTACAATGATTAATAAACAATACACACAACCACATAGCAATCTACACAAGTCTGTTTTAAATGAAGAAAGTCTTTTGTTTGGTAGTGAAATATAAGCAATCATTATGTCTCGTGCTGTTGCAGAGTTTCTGCCTGCCATACCTAGTGTACCTTTGTATTGAAGTAGTTGTGCCAAGAATCTGTGTTTCAGTTTACTGTGTTCGTCTTTGTTTCCATTTTCAAGTTAGTACTTTATGTAATGTGCTTATTAATTATACCCCGTTAGTTTGCTCGAGTGGATCCCCCATCCTGTCTGTAGAGCTGGTGACATCAATTGTGGCGATAAGAATTATAGGCTGACACTAAAAATAAGTTATCAAATAAAGTCTTAATCCATTCATAAGTTTTTTAGTTTTCCAACATATTAAACACATTTGACTTTAAATAATTCACAAATAATACACAGTCCAAGTGCAGTGAGAATTTCAGTTTATCTTTCTTGGTGAATCATCAACATATTTTTAATCTCTTTCCTCCCTCCTGGCAGAAATCTCATCCTGTTTAGAGTAAGTCCACCACGGTTGATTTCAATATTAATGAAGGAAACGCCTCATCATTGGACAGTGATTCTGATCCGTTTTACATGCCCCCTCTGGTAAAATGCATGTGGTGAACCATAACCAACATTGTGTCATACACTGTAAACAGAAAATGATCATCTCTTAAGTGATAAATGTGATTGATTGAGTTTGACCTAAATCACATCAAAAGGATGGTGCTGGCATGGAGCTGAGACCTGAACACGGTCTGTACCAACATCCAATTAAAATTCAACTGAAGCAGACATGTGCTGCCAAATTGGAGTCCTGAACCCACATCTATATGTTTTAATTTTTTTAATGCTTTTGAAAGAGACAGAAAGATTTTCTCACTAATTTCAAATAAGTTGTATGGGAACTGTGACTATATGCGAGGTCTCTTCAGAGGTAGACACAGTGGCCCACCAGCAGAAACTACCTTATAATCCCTGATAAGCCAAATACCAGCACATGACACAGAGGAATCTCAGAACAATAAACCCTGTGCCTTGACCAACAGCCAGGTAAACTTTGCCTCTTTAGAATACTGGCATCATAACATTTGGCTGATAAACTCTGAACTTGTTTCCTATCACACTTGGCAGCTCCGACTGTCATAATTTAGAACGGTTACAGCGACATTATGTACAGGCATCCTCATGAGTCAGACAAGGTCATAATGTTCCCACAGTGAAGAAGCTACTTTTTTAGCAAGTTCAATTTTATGTAATACTGAAAATGAGTTTACCAGGCTAATAAAAATTGATATGATTCTCCTCTATGCTTGTTATATTCCACTGTCCAACACATGACACAAACTGACACAGAAAACTGGTACGGCCCGAGACAGAGAGGACACGGGACCGAATTCCTTTTAAAATAACTGAATCTCAACCAGACCTTAACACAATAAATGAGCCTAACGGACAGATATCCAACTTGACTGGGAATGCACTAATCTGGAATAGCAAGTTTCTTCAGACTTAGAAAACATATTAAAATTAATACATGTAACAGGGACAATTAGGAGTTATTAATAACTTGTATGTTTTAACTGAACAACTGCACTCACGCATCTTCAATGTACATTTAGTCATTGTTTCCATTTCATACAACTTATTAATACATTTCTCATGATAACAGAAAAGAGATCTAGTGTTTTGACTTGACAACATTTGACCAGCGTGACCACAAATAAATCTGTTGGACCACCAGTGAATTCCTCCTCTGAGGCAAAATGCGAGTTAACCAGAGCTGGGAGGATTTGAAAGGGGAACATTTGCAGACAGGGAATAGAAAAAAATGATTTGACATCTTATTTGCAACCACTGCTGTTACGACTTTAAAAAAACAAACATCCTCAAGAATGACTTTTGATTTATAATCCATGGACATGTGGCCTTTAACTTGCAAAGAGGAACTAATAATGATCTAGATGTCTCACCTGGCTCAGAGTCAGAGTTCCCAGTCGGAGACTGGCAGAAACTCGAGGGCATGAATACATTGTTCTTGGGAACTGCAAAGTAGGACAGGCATTGCACTCAGCATACAAATCATTGTGTACACCACAGGCAATCAAGAAAAAAACAAATGCTCTTGGTTTGGTCGCCATTGGCCCTTACCAGAATGTGGGGGTGGAAACGAAGAGGTCCTTTCCCTTTTCACTGGGGGGCAATAGCTTCCCTCGTCTTTGTCTGAATCTGAAGGTGGTAATAAAATATAAGTTTGAATAAATCTGTGAGAAATTATAAACAAAGAAAGTGGCAGTTTGGACTTGAGATTCACCTTCTCCATCCTCTGCACTTGAGCCTTCTGCAGATCGCTGAAAGAAAACACAACAGGTTATTTAGTTTCTCTCGAACGTTGGTCCTTATCCTTTTAAATCACTACAAAGTTGAGAACACATAAAAAATGAAACAAGGTTGCAATAATGGATAAAGATGAGAAATGGTATTCATGTTTTAACACATTTGACTGGAGATCAACATACACTCAAACTGCAGTTAATTTGGTTTATAAAACTACATTACTACACGCATCAATGTAGACCTAATAAACTCCCAAAATAGTGTATTACTATTCTTAGAGACAGGCCATTTTTAGCTGAGCATCTATTCTGTGATATGGTTTTCCTGAATGAGTCCAGGCTTAATGCAGGTGTTTAATATCGGCTAAATCCCAACATTTGTTTTCAGTCTTTGTAAACACTTGACATCTAGAGAAACTTACCTTCTGTGCTTTTTCTTTTTGGAAAACAAACACAGGAGGCGCTATGGCAGGCTTGTCTGTTAAGAGAAGATGCAGGCTTGTCATTCATCATATTTATACTGTAGGTTTGAAAAAGTAGTTAAGGCAATTGACTCAAATGGCCTTCACCCCCCCCCCTTAAAAGCAGGGACCACATCAATGTTGTTAAGGCCGTGACAATATCCAGTAATAAAGAACTTGAGTATCAGAACTGCACAGCAATATATCCCGCAGAAATTAACATATGATTCAAAAAGTCGTCCATAACATTCCATATGAAACAGATTATATGACAGATAAAAAAGCTGTTTCTTTAATTTACAGGTTATTCAAGTGTCAGGTTTAGCTGGGCCAAGAAAAGAAACTGTAAAAGGGAAGTGTGAGAACAATGTGACGAAGGTGGCGGTGGAGAAAATACATTTAAAAAATGTTGACCAACTTGACTTTCAAAAGCACCATACCATGCAATACTTTACACAATGTGTAGAGCTAAACTAAATCCTCCTAAAATACCAAAACAAGGGGACGAGATAAAAAAATAAATTAATGAAAAGGCAATATTGTAATAACCACCTGTACTTAATCAAACTTTATCACTCCATAGTGCAATGATGCTCGTGTGACCAAATGGGGGGATTTTGTCAATTTATCCCACAAATATTGTGTTAGCACTGTAAAGCTATGATCACAACCAACAAGGACACGAACCACCAGGCGGGTCATCATCTGAGCTCCCATCAGGGCACTTGATGCGTCTCCCTCCACGGTGTAACCTCTGTCAGATGTGTAATCCTGTAACGTTACCAGACAAAGGTTTCCCTCTGTCTGGGTTGGGCCTGTGACACTGAGCAGGTGTAGCATCGTTCATGAAAATGCTCCAAATCCACGACAGCACGCAGCCGGGCACGTGAACTGTGACCAGACCCCTGTGTCACAGCCCCTCATGGCAGAACACTGGCTGTTTACGTACGCTGCACGTTTTAATGGCAGAAAACATGACAATAACGTGTGACCTACATTTCACTACTAATCGCCCAGCTCTGTGTTCATCTCTGGTTTTCCGCTGCTCGGCTGTCCTGTCGTAAGGATTGCTAGAAATCCAGCATGCGACACCGACGTTCACTTCTTGAAACTCGGGCAGCAGGAGACGTCCCCCGGCTTATGTTAACCAGCTAGCATTTGCTACACATCTGAGCCACTCCAGCAAATAGTCGCCACCGCCGGTGGTTAGCTGAGGGGGGCAGAGTGTGTAGCTTAGCTGGCCGGCTACAGCTAGCTTGCTAATGCGCTCCATCCCGCGTGAGTCATCTCACCGGGGCAAGGACACCAAGATGCTCGCTGGATTCTCCCACAGTTGACAAATCAACATGATAACAAACGGATCTGACTGAGGACACTCAGCACATGTCCACGAAGAAGAGATCACACTAACGCATTAGCTCCTGTTTGACGTTCCAGGTTCTACGCGCCTAAATGGACCTGAGAAACTCGTCTGCATTAACAAACCATGATGTGAAACTGTGAACGTCTCATAAACCTGCAGCTCTGTTACAACACTAGCCTTGTTAGCTCCACAACGATCCACCCAAGGCCCCGGCAGGCTTCGGTTTAAACCCACAATAGATCGCGCAGCTCGCCGCAAATGGCAAAACACAGCACCTATAAATAGCCGGGTGCTAGCATCGGGGGGCTAAGCCCAGCTAGCGTCGGGCGACGTTCGAGGGCGTTCCGAGGCGCTCCAGGAATTACCCGCACCCCGGCCAGTTAGCATCGTTAGCCCCGCTCGCTAACGCCGTGGTGTTGCAAACGCCGCGGGGCTCGTGATTCACCGGGACTCGGCGCCAACCCGCAGCCACGCAGCCCCGCTCCAGTTGTCGAACGCGCGGACGGTGTGCGGGCTCCGCTCGTAACGCCGCGGCGGCCGTATTGTTTTTCTCTCACTGCCACTCACTCACCTTCGTTTGCCAAGTCCGCCATTTTACTTCGACGCTCAACACACCCACAACCCACCGCGCAGATAACACACGGGTCCACGCAGGGATGTGTTGTCGGCGGCGGGGCAGCGGCGCGTTGAGGCCGTTTACCGGGGATGTTACTCGACCCCTGACCGCGTCCGGTCCCCGCTGCCCGCCTCAGGAACACCGCCTGTCATCACCGGTCACCGCGAGAGTGTTTTTATTTTTATTTTTTTATTTTTTTTAAAAATCCAACGCTTTTTTTTAATCAGCCCCAAGAAACCGATCAAAGTTCGCAGCAACTCACCAGAACCTCCGAGAAACGTGATGAGCTGCAGGAGGATGACACAGACTTACAAATACAGTTCTTACATAATCAGGATTCGGTTCGAACAAACTTTGCTGATCTTAAAAAGAATAGTTTGACAACTCAAAAGTCCTCTACTGACCCTTCCCTGACCCTTCAAGCACTCCTCAGTCTTCCTCAGTGTCTGTAACTTATTTTACTTTATTTATTTCTCTATTCGTGATCTTCACGTTGTTTTGCTTTTGAATTTCATTTTTAACCCGTAAAACACCTCGTAACTGTGTTTTCAAAGAAGCTATATGAATAAAGATTATTATCATCATCAATTACAGTACTAATAACATTAATAACAACATCAGCAATAATAACAATACGTCATTTATACAGGACATTTGATTCATAAAATGCAGCTCAAAGTGCTTTAAAACAAAATCACGAAATAAGATAAAAATAAGAGTGTGCTAGCAATAAAACAACGATAGGATAAAAGCATAAAACTAGCAAAAGGTATAAAAAAATAATGACGCTGGTGTTACAAAATAGGTCTCAACATAATTATAATAATGACGATATGTGAGACAAATTGACAGTAAGATGACTTGATGTGCACATATGACATTCTGGTGAAAGTGCACAAGAAAAATAAACTATATGAGAAATATCCATTTCAGCAGAAGCTCCTGAGGAATAACAGTCATGTGTGACGGGCATGAGTGGGAGTCATAAGCAAAGATGAGTAATTTGTGAAAAAATAAGACAAGGGATGATTCTAACAATATATTATTCCCAGTTTGAGCAGCATTCAAATCCTCAATGTTCAGTTTTTAATCTATTTCTTTCTCAACACACTTTTTACTGTTCACTCTTGTTTATGTACCTCTCCAGTTTCTCCCCTAGAGGTGTCGTTGCACAGGTGGTGAATGTGAACTAAAACAACATAGTTGACATTTCACTGATTCAGATTTCCTTCCCCCTCCTGTAATCACCATGTTGACGTTTCTACACGCGGTGGCGCAGTGCTGCCTCACAGTGAGAGGGTTTGAATCCAGCAGACAGCCGGGCCTTTCTTTAACAAAGTCAGAGAAAGACTCCACACGACAGTGACAAAACAGGCATGATTGATGAGAGGAAATAAAATCCAAACAAAAGAACAAACTCATTGGTGTGTTCTGTAATAGGTCAGTAATGTTAAGGATGAGGCCCACGATGTTTAACCTCAATCTTTGGAGTCAGTTGAGGATGTTTAGTCATTTACAGTCACAGTCTGAGAAACATGTTGAACATATTTCCTTCCTCATACAACACTTTTTGGATGTTTTGAAACCGGGATTTTTTTTTATCCCAGCTTCCCTTTTTTGTTGCCTTTGTACCTATGTGGACACTTTCACTTCACTGGGAATCAAACATGAAAACATCATGGACTGCGGATTTGTTCCTATAACTGTTCACAAAAGCAGCTCCAGTATGACTGAACCCTGGATTAGCTCTTGTGCAGAGACTTAGCTTTAAATCAGATTCTGTGAACATCTTTTCAGTTTGTCTTTACTGAGGATTAATATCTGACATTTGTGTTTGAACAAACTACTTTTATTTGATATGTGCTGTGTGCAGATAGTGGTGTGCTTGTCTGCTAAAGGCAAGTTAAGCTTGAGATTAACTTCCCCCTGCTCAAGATAGTCATCAGTTTGAGTAAAACCTTTCACCCAGAGGTAAGTTCAAAACCAAGATGCCCCACTGTGCTAATTTATCTTCACATGAACACAACACAACACAACATAACACTAGGGGGGCACAGCACATACCTTGACCAAGGCCAAACAGTCATTTCACAAACTTATGAATATAAAATGTTCCTGATTTTTATCATCGAGATCCATGATTTCTTTTCTCTGGGGAAACTGAGAAAATGTTGAAAACCCCATATCTTGCTATGTTTGCCAACAAACCAACCAACAAATGGACAGGGGTGAAAACATAATAACAAAACATGACGTGACACAATTTAATGCAATGTAATGTAACATCCTCCTCATCATCCATAGTTTTAAAAGTGTTTGCATTAAAGGAAGAGGCATGTAAAACCATTTGCTTTGACATCCTGTAACCTGAGGTAAGTTTCATAAAGTTCATAAAGCACCAGTATGTTCAAAACATGAGAATGAGTTTATAGGGCCACAAACTGTTTAATAATTCAGAGATGTAATCGCATTTCTTCATTTTTGCAATTTGTAAAACCTTCCAGACCAACTGGCATCACAGGAAAACCGCCATAATGAGATCATCTTTTTACGACCTTGTGGTAAAGAGATTTAATCACTGATCACAATTGTAGCCTCTGTTGTAGAGTGAACCCCTTTTTTTCTTGCTCTGACCTTCTTTCTCAATCTCATAAAGAAACAGAGTTGAGGCAGAATTAACTGGACAGAAATAACACTAAAATCAACTGTGTTTGTTTTTTTGGTTCAAATTATGGTGAAGGAAAACTGAGTAGAGAACATATTTTAAGACTTTGTATTGCTCAACAGTGACCCAAAGTTTTCTGAAAGAATACTTTAAGTTTGCCTTCAGGCAGGACTCCGTTTACAGACAAGCCACTGCATGTGTTTATGCTGTTTGCAACAGATGGCCCTTATCTGTCAGTAGAGCTCAGCTTGTACTTTGACAGTTTCCCTTTCACTTCTTTTTTATTAATCCATCATCACCATATGATTAGTCCAATGTCCACAGTGCATTTATGAGTTACCATATTTCAATTGTTAGTAGGCCACAGACATTCATTCCTACTGAACTCTGATTATAATAAAGCTAAATGTTCATTGTACATTTTTGTGTTGTCTAACATATTAAACCATTCTCTAGAACAGCTTTCAACCACCTGCCCTGAGAAACTAGTCCACACATTTGTTACCTCTAGACTAGATTGCTGTAATTCTGTATTATCAGGATGTCCCAGGAAGTCTGTGAAAAGCCTCCAGTTGGTCCAAAATGCTGCAGCACGAGTGCTGACAGGAACTAGAAGGTGAGATCATATTACTCTTGTCTTAGCTTCTCTACATTGGCTCCCTGTAAAATTGCGAATAGAATTCCAGATCCAGCTCCTCACATATCAAAGAGCTCACAACACCATATCATCCAAATAGACCACTTCGTTCCCAAAACCCAGGCTCTCTTGTGGTTCCAAGAGTCTGTAAGAGTAGAACAGGAGGTAGAGCAGATACCAGGCTCCTCTCCTGTGGAACCAGCTCCCACTCTGGGTTCTGGAGGCAGACACCATCTCTGCATTTAAGGTTAAACTAAAAACGTTCCTTTTTGATAAAGCCTGTAGTGGGTAGTTTAATTTAACCTAAACTAACCTAAGCTTACCTATCCTGACCTAACCTAAACAGCAAACAGTAACAGTAAAGTAAATATTAAATATACATCTCTACTGTAGTTTTTTTTATACCAGGTGCCAAAGTAAAGTTCCTTACACACTGATAAATGGCTTCTTGGACGTCATCTTTCACGCATTCATAACGACTGAAAGATGAATCAACATCTCATTGTATGAAAGGAATGCTAAAGGCAACACAGTGTATCATCACACAGCCTCATTCCAAGTTCCCTAGGCGGTGGACCATCATCTCTCCTGACAGCTCAATGCCAAGTTACACAATCATAAACAGGAATAGAGATAATAGCAGCCAACTATAATTTTTTTCTCTTCTCAAAATCACTGGTTGATTTGCCAACCAACATTCAGATCACTTTCATGTTGATCAAACCCTCAAGTCATAAAAGACTGAGGTAATTCTGCATCAAAATATATTAAGTTGCATTTGCACCGCCTTAGAGGCTTAGAGAGGGAAGAAACATTACATTTGCAGATCCTTGCATACATCATGATGCACAGTCATAGGGTTCTGCAGCAGCAGTACACAACTGAAGGGACCGCCAGTATCCTGGAGGCTACGGAAATGAGGAGGGCCATGAAAAGCTTCACTGGGCCTCAGCAGGGTGGGTGTGAGTGCTGGTAAGAACATAAACAGTGAAGTGTGCTATCAGATGAACACTCAGGCACACAGGGCTCATTAATATCTGTCAAAGTGTTCAACAAAGAGAGCACAGCAGTTTATTTACAGGAATGAAAAGGGAAAGCTGTGGAGGATATACTCTGTGACAATGCTGACAAGTGCTTTTAAGTTTCTCAACTGTCAGAACACAACATGACTCAAGGGAGGAAAGTTCAAATATCTGCGCTACTGAAGTTTCACACATCAGAGTTCAGCTCAGAATACAGACGAGCATAACGTAGACAGTCAACTAGCTTTTATTGTAAAACTAGTTTATTTTTCAAACAGAATGGTACTCAGCAGAGCACAGTCGACCACTGAGGCCCAACAGTCCCCTTAAATTCATTTAGGCTGCATCAAACTGCTCTCAGATCTCTTCATCAAGATCTTTGCATCATTTGTTGGAAAATTGACAAATGTCCAAAAAACGTCAGAGCTGGTAATGTGGGAAAAAACTGTCTCAATCAAATCTACTCCAACTCTATTCTCAGTTGACCCGTACTCCACCCCTCCTCTAAGGTTCAATTAACAGCTATGGAAACCTAACCTCCTTGGTGAGCCTCACATAGCAACTCAATAACTTAGCAATATACTGACCCAAGTTTCAAACACAATAATGTAGGAAGTAGAGAAACATCCTCATATCACTGATGTTGACATATCTGACACCGATCTTTTATATATTTGCATTAATATGCTTTGAGGATTTATCGACTTATTATTTGTGGTTTCCTGTCAGCTCCTAGAATAAAAAAGGCTCTACCACATGTTATTTTAGTTCATTCTTTTATTTGGAATCACTTAGTGTCACTTATATAGTGTTAACACTCTACGCAGTCATCATCAGCCATGTACCTTTTTACAGAGGGATCCATTCAGCTTAGTTTTAAAGAAAAGACATGTAACATATGGTGTTTCTTTCACGTAGGTTTGGAAAAACTTAAATGATACTAATAGTTAATAATAGTAATGATAATAATGATTTATGGCCTAATACAACGTGTGGGGAGGGGCTTCCACATACATTTAGAAGTAAATGTGAAACAATAAAGAAATGAAGACTGTGAGTTCATCGTTATCATGCTGTTTGTTATCAAATGAAGCTGATTTCACAAACCTGCTGTTTGTGAAATTTGAGACAGATCTGTCTCACGCATGCCTTCAGATGAGATATTTATGGAGAAATTAAAAAAGTGTCATTCCATTCTTCAACATTAAATATCTGACATCACATGTTATGGGAGTATCAGTCATTGTTTATCATTTTGGTTGTAAACAAACAACAACACAGGAAGTGCCTTTGATGAGACTTGATTGATAAATATTAGTCTTTATAAGTAATTTGTACTCAGTGAGTACTATGAGTACTATTATGTGAGGCGGAATATGTCTGTCAGAGTGAGATGTTCAAACCTTGTGAGATGTTAACAAGCCAGATTCCAATTACAGCAACCTATGGCAACATGGGAGTTAATGTCATGGTAAAAAAAATGGCCTGTTTCCTCTTCCTGATCTAAATGTATAATCATCAAATGTTTGTAATTTGATAGAAATGTTTTCCAATAAATGTACTTAAATCATAAATGTGTCCAGCTCTGCTTTTTTGAATCCACAATTTGACATAAAGGTACATGTTAAGATTCAAATGTTTGTATTCAGAAACAAAGTTTTCATGTGTCTTCCTTGAGCTCTTGTGGAATAAAAAAAAAATGAAAAAAATGAGCTCAGGTGCAAAGTCGAGGTTATTTATGGTAATATGATATCCGGCTGAGTGCTACATAAGAGCGCCTCGTCTGCACAAGTTGATAGATGCAAGACGAGAGAGGTAAAGACGACACCTGGAGCGATAGAGGTGAGTAAATGTGAAACTATGACTAAAATTAAAATCTGTTAATCAGGCAACAATATTTTTCTTATTAAGCACGGAATATGTCTGTAAACCTTTGTAAAAGATGTTTATTTTCTTAATTTAACTTAATTTATTTCTTCTTTATGTTTTTTACTTAGCGATAACAGCTCACATTAATGCACTTTATCAGGATCTAAATATGTTACATTTTAAGAATTGTATTTTATTTATTTTTCAACTGAATGATTAAAATCTATAACCGAATGACAATAATCTAAATACGGGATACATTTAGAGTCAATAGACATAAAATGCAAACGTGTTAATGATTTATTCAGTAAAATCCTGGCTGAAGGAGGCTGAGGTATATTCAGAGGTGAAAGGAGAGTGGGAGTACACAGATTGAAGTTAACACAAAGAAGCAGTTCAAGGTTCATGGTTTCAGGTGTGGCCGGAGTCATAAAGTAAACAAATTCTCTGACATTTCTTTTCATCTCAGAGCTGCAACTACCGACTGCACCATGCGGTTCATCTTGACGATCTTCTTGCTGAGCCTGTCCTGTGTGTGTCTCACGCTGGCACAAGGTAAGGGACTGTGGACGGACACTAGTGTCACATTTACAGGACGCAATAGAGAGCTGTGAACAAACAGCCAAATAAAATAAAGGGCCAGGGAGGCTATGTTTATATTGCTGATTGTGCAAACAGCCTTTTGATCAATCGATTCATGTACTTTATCTATGTTGTATAATACATACTATACTGTTGGTACGGGTCACTGGATTGTACCTGACTTTACTGTCCCTCAGGGTCCTATGACGACTGCTGTCTGAAGTATGTGAAAAATAAGCAGCTATACATTCAGAAACACGCAGTGAAGTACAGACGGCAGGAGCCAGACGGAGGCTGCAACATCTCTGCTGCGATGTAAGTACACATGCATACACAACAACACATCCACTTCAAAAAAGTGTGCAGCTCACACAACCTTAGGACATACAAGAGGTATATTAGTTTTCCAGAGGTTGTCCATTATCAGCTCCATGATCTCCTGACACTTGAATTAATTTGACTTTTATGTGTGTTTGCACATGTGTGTTTCTGTATAGAATGTTTGGGTGGATAAATGTTCAAGTATGTGTGTGTATGTGAGTATACTGTATATGAGTATGTATTTGGATATTTTGCATCTTTGATTCCAACACTGATTCCTATTAATCACATTAGTGTGTTGTCTGCTTCAAGTTCAATAGATTTTACAGCCTTTCTTTATTCTTCATGTTTCTTATTTACTTGTTGTTTCTGTTTCAATGATTCTGTAGCTTCATCATGAGGAGGGGGCGTATGTTTTGCACCGACGGCAGTGAGCAATGGGTCAAGAAGCTGATGAATGAGATTGACAAAAGGGGCAAAGAAAGGAGAAAGGTGAGTTTACCATAGTTGTTGCACTTCATTACTCTCCATGAGGATCTCTTTATCATTAGATTAGATATACTTTATTCATCCCACAACGGGGAAATTTACATCAGTGTGAATCTTTGTATTGAGATTTGTTTTTAAATTAGGAATAAAGCTAGTAATACTTTGAAATACTTTGACTGCATTGACAGATGTATTCTCTTATTCTGAGACTTCAACCGAGAATTAACCTTTAAATAAAAGACAAGGATTTGTGTAGATTGACATGTGATAGTTAATAAAAAAACTATTTCTTCACAGCACCATCGACAGAGGGCGAACAGAGGCTGAGGGCGTCAGCCTGCTGCCCCCGTTTGTCCCACCGCCCTCTGGCAAATCTTAACATTGAGCAACAGTGGTGGCATCTGACTGGAAGGCGGCCAAATCCTGTAACATTATACCTTTGGTTTCACTATCTAGAGAGACGAGGGTCAAAAGCTTGTGTGGCAATCATGGCAGCACTGTGTTCTCTGGGGTTTAACAGTGGATGTGACTGAGCAGTCGCCACATGTACATTCAACAGCTGCTTCAGTGAAAGTGTTTTCTTGCCTTTTAAAACATCAGATTTTCAATAAGCTGCTTAATGACACAAATGGTGATGGAGAGTAATTAATATTAATTATTCGAATATTTCTTGTGTGATGTAGCCATGCTTCTATCAAATATGTGTGCAAACAGTAATTGTTAAATTACTTTCTGCAGTGTGTGTCATAATAAAGGAGAAGCCGAGTCATTAATTTCTATATTTTCATATATTTTGTATTTCATCTTGCAGTGTGTGTTCAAATAAAAGCATTATTACAGTAAACATGTTCAAAGTTGTTTATTTACACATTAATATATTAATGTTCTTTGTGTTATTTGAATTCAGACACATTTTTACACTTTATTGTCTTACAAGAATGGGCATCATGGGAAATATTTCTGTTTTACAGCACAAGCTCGTGAGTTTGGAGAAAATGAAAAGTTTGAATTGTAGGTTTCCTATTATCCTAATGTGTAAGAGGCTTTTAGGAATAAGTTGTTTTAACACAGGGCACAGCAGCAAGAAAAACAACATTTATTTATATAGCACCTTACAACAACCAAGGGTTGACCAAAGTGCTTCACAATTGCAAATCAAACATAGACAAACAGCAAACACAAGACAAGAACAACAGTTTCAGTTGAAGGCTAGATCAAACAAGTATGTTTTTAGCTTGGTTTTGAACAGAGGCAGGTCAGTGGTGGTGCGTAGCTCAGAGGGCAGTGCATTCCAAAGTTTGGGACCTGCCACTGCAAATGATCGGTCACCCCACTGTTTGCTCCTGGATCGGGGGACCTCTAGCAGGTGCTGACCAGCAGAGCGGAGAGCTCTGCCGGGTTGGTGGAGCTTCAGGGTTTCACTTATGTAGGTGCTTAACCTACTTAACTTAAGAACTGTGTCTTTATGCGGCTTCAACCATCAAACATTTCCAAACACTTTATGGGGAAAGAACAGGTCGTCCACGAACCAGAACATCAGTGGTTCGATGCCTTGCACCTTTGTTCCGCGTACTGTTTTGTGATGGAGGAATTGCTGCACATAGATCCACTGTATGAAAATGTATGTGTGAATAGCACTTGGAGTCATCTTCAGGACTGGAAAAGCACAAATACAAACCATTTACCAGCTTCATGAAGCTGCTTTAACTCTCATATATCACCTGATAACATCAAAATGAATGACTGTCATTGTTAAACATGAATATTCTGAGAGTGTTGTCCTAATGCAACACATACAAATAACAGATATGTAAATACACTTCAAGAAACCCACTGCCTTTCTGCTGATCACTGAAATACAACACAAATCTATCATTTATAATAAAGGAAGTGTTAAAATCACACATTCACCACTTTTCCCAGTGGATCGCTTTTTCACATAAAAGTATAATATTTCTTGGCAGAGTGTCACACGTTTGTCGCTCCTATTTTTGATTTTTATCTTCTCAAAATTCTGTGATCCATGCAATTCTATGTTTCATGCTCTGACATTGTGGTTTGCATATTTATTTAAAATGTATTTAGTTTTCCTCTTGACGGGTGAATATTTCTAATTGTTGTTATTTGTGTGTGTGTGTGTGTGTCTTTTCAGCCATTTGGACATTACTGTTGTTTTGCTTTGCGTGGGATCTGCAGCTCATTAACTCAGTAAAATCCCACAAAATTATTTTTTAATGTTTCAGTACAGAGAAGAAAATCTGCAGAGAGAAAGCACGTAGCACAAGTTTGAACTTCTGGTGTGTTGATTCACAACCGACATGAGGGTTACTCTCTTTTCCTAGAACTGCAGTGACATGCAGCTGATACAATCTCTCTGTATCTGCGTACACTGATGACTTCCACACATTGGTGCCATGCAGAGGCTTCAACTTGCAAATTGTAGTCATAAAATCCTGCACATTAGTGTGTTCATTTTTGTTTATCAGACAGGTATTAACACATCCTCTCTCCCAAGGCCCGCAGATACAAGGTGAAAATGAACCATTGTTGTTTTTAAGTTGTGCAATCATGAAAATCCTTCATGCACAAAGTATTTGCTTTGTGCTGCCAGGGCAAAGGTGATAGATAATAATTACACAGACATTAATGGTATATACTTCTTATATATCAAACAGTTTGTCTAATAGACTGGTTCTAATAGAATCTGGTTGCAGCTTGGGAAGGATTTTGGAGCTGAGGCCCAGTTTCTTCTTGTGTATGTCAAAACAACACTGACGAGTGTGCTACGCTTGTATGCATGGTGGGAAAGAATGATATGGCTGGTTGGAATCATGAGAGATCTAGAAAATCTTTCATTAACGGGAAAATAACGTGGAAACAAAGTAAGAGACTGGAAAACAGTATATGGGTAAATCAGTTTAGGCTGGAACAAATGTGATAAATTATATTGAATGGGATGTTTGAACATGTATCAGAAGAAGAGAAAATGAGACTATAACATGTCGCAGCAGGCTTTAAAAAAAGAAATAAAACCGATAAAGGTCACTATTGTTACATCTCTTTCATCTTAATAACGTAAAAAAAGCTTTGAAATTATTTTCAACATAAATCCAAAGACTGACTTGTCATGTTGACTCCTCTGAGTCTAGAGAGGGCAATAAAAAAGAGAAAGCAGCCATAAAACACAGCACACCACCAAGTGAAGGTACATTATATTTATTATCATTTCTCTATCCTCATGTCTTAGCTGCTATTTTCTATAGTAGCTCTTATGTATATGAGCACTATGAATCTTGCAGTTTAGTAACAGTTGCAGACATCTTTTACTACACGTACTTCAAAGACATCTCCTGACAATAAAATGAATATAAAACATACATATAATATAAAATATTAATAATGCATATATACATACGTTTTTACATTTAATCAAATAAGAATAATTGTATGCTACAATATAATAACATACATATTAAAATCACAATTAAATACAAATACCTTATTCTTTTTTAATGTAAACATTCAACCCAGTCTCCTCTGTTTTAACTTTGCCTCAACTTAGCTCTTTCTGAACAACTCAGCCACCATCCTACTGGTATGTGCTTTCTATGTAAACTAACTTATTGCACATGTCTGTACTGCTGGAACACAAGAATTTCCCCTCGGGATGAATAAAGTATGTCTATCTATCTGTCTATCTGTCTAACTCCACAACCTAATTTAAATAGAAGGTAAGTGAGAAAATTCTTCTTTGCTTTAAAATTAAATTGAATCAGCTTAATTATTTATTAAATTATTTAACTGAAAACATCTTGCCCTTTAGTAATCTATAGTTGGATATCATTTGAGGCACTGGTAGATGTAAGTTTAACCTTTGGACAAAATCAGCTTTGCCTCCTGGCTCCATCTCCACACACAAACTGTAACATCCAGCTGTCTGGAAGAAGACAAAGAAGCACATGTTCCAAAATGCTACATGACGACACAGACAACAGAGTGGCGTTTATTCAAAACTCTGTCTGAGCCCACTCTCCATCGGAGTCTGTTCTGAGATTCCTTCATGCACGACTGGTTGTATCCCACAGCCTCCACATGTCTCCTCTTTTGAATGCGATGCAGTAGAATCCGGTAGGTCCCGCTGACGGGGCTCCTCAGGTCCACGCTGTTGTTGAGGAGATGATTCCTGGTGATGCCGAGATCCTCCAGCGCTGCTTTCACATTTAGTTCATCGTGGCTGAGGATGCGGGTGGGCTCAGCCAGATGTGAGGGTGTAGAGCTGTAGGAGGGATAAGCCTGGGGGTACTCAACACCTCTCATCCAATCACTGGACATGATCTGTGCCATAGTGAGACGATCTACAGGCACCGGCCTCAAGAGGCCCTTGATGACCTCCTGGCAGGATTCAGGTACGTAAGAGGGGATGGTGTAAGAACCCTGCAGGATACAACATTTCAGTCTTCCTGTGTTTGTAGCTTTGAATGGCATGGTGGCGGTCATCATGAAGTAAAGCAAGATACCCAGCGCCCACATGTCCACACATTGACCAATATAACCTTTCCCCTTGAAGAGCTCGGGGGCAGCGTAGGGAGGAGAGCCACAGAACGTGTGAAGGACGTCGCTGGGGCAGCAGAGCGCGCTGAAACCAAAGTCACCCACTTTAATGCAGTAAGTGTTGGTGTAGAAAACGTTCTCTGCCTTCAGGTCCCGGTGCACAATATTACTATCGTGCTGGGAAAAGAGGAAACAGAGAAATTGTTAGATTCAGTTTTCTTGCAGGGGAATTGAAAAGTTGATTTCCTGCACGGCTCATTAAGAAGAAATGAAAAGTCACATGTGAACCTTATTTACTGGGACTCTTTATTCATTCTAATGTCATAAACTATTATCTTGTTAATAACGGCCCCTCTGTCTTTCACTTTCATTTTTCACTCAAACATACTGATATCACTGTTCACCAACAATCTGCTGTTGACTGACCATATGCTTGACAGCAGACAGGACCTGTGAAAACACCAGCTTGCTCTCCAGATCAGGCAGGCGCCCCCTGGTGCAGATACGTGAGAACAGCTCTCCTCCGCTGGCGTACTCCATCACCAGGTAGAGCCTCCTGAAGGTCTCCACCACCTCGTACAGACGCACTATGTTGGGGTGGGCCAGCTTCTCCATGCAGGAGATTTCAGAAGCAAAGAGCGTCTGTGAACGCTTGTCCAGACGAACCTTATCCAGGATTTTAACTGCAACTCGCTCTGTGAAGTGACGACAGACGGTAAGACGACAAGGAATAAACATGAGTGCAGCCTTTTCAGACCAACTGATCATCACTCTGACAGATTTGTTGTAATGACAACAAAATAACAACACATAACTAAAATATGAAATATAATACATACTGAATACTTATAATAATAATTAAACATTTGACATTATCATATGTTTATATATATACACACATATTCATACAGTGCATCTATGTGCAGCGCTTTTTCTGTCTTTGATCACTGAAGCTGTAAAAGTAGGAGTAAAGAAACATTCAGTATCTCACCTTTAGTCAGGTCATGTATTCCCAGCCTGACCTCGGAAAAGTTGCCACAGCCGATCTGCCCTCTGAGGTCGTAAAGCCCCACCCGCCGTCCAAACGTCAGATCATTCATCACCCTCTCTGAATGGGTCAGATCGTAGAAGGCCTTCCCAAAAGCTGTGTGCTGCGTGGACTCCTGCTCCTCTGCCATGTTCTCCTTTGCCTCCAGCCTTTTTTCCCCCTTTGTGGGCAACAGGCCGATGATCTCCTTCTGAGGTGGAGACGTCTTCAAGTGAGTCCCTGAAGTGGAGAAGATGGGATGCAACAGAAACGATTTTAAACTATCTATTTACATCATTATATTTGATGGAATAAAAGTGTATACAGAAATCACAAGATCCTACGATATACAAATTCTGTACTCACATGTTTTGCCTTTTAAGTTCTTCCTGCTCCTCTCTGTGTTGATGGTGTTATTTCTGTTCTGCAAATACATGATTCCTGCAGGTGTCAGAGAGCAGCGTGCTCACCGAGGGTTTGAAGATGAAACCGAGAAAACAAATACTAAAAGGAAAAAACAATGTTTGAGTTCAAAACCATCTGCATGCTTCAGAAAACTTGCTCCAATAAAGTTGCTCTGGTCCAGAAGCTGTTCTGATCCGTTTTGTCTCTGTGCTGCACCATTGTCTCCTGACATATAATCCAAACCAACCGGCCTGTAATCCCACAGTGTTGGACTCCACCCACGCAGACAGACAACAGACAGGCTTTGCAGAGGCTTCTTTAACCCCTAGACTCAAACATGGAGACTGATACAGGTGCAGGAACGAGACACTGATGGGATTATATCTACTGCTTATATGACCATCATTATAGTTAGGGGTCAGTGGACTGAGGGAAGGTCATTAACACAGTCTGCATACTTCAAATGCTTGAGGTTGAACAAAGGTCGGTTGTTTTTACATTAATGTTAAGTCAAAGTATCGATGAATGATGCACTGATAACTTATAGCAATTCAATTTTTTGGGTCATTTTTCACCAAAGCAAAACTTTAAAAAAAAGCAAGTTTACCTTCATGAACTCAACCAGAAGCTTAAAGAAAAGAACGCAGGTCTGAAATCATGTCCCTTTGACATTTGACCTTTTGGAAGACACAGTGACACACTGACCCAGACACTGAGAATGACACCAGACAAAGACACAGTCCAGGTACTGATGAACTTCCCTCACGCCTGTCAACCTCTGTCTGCAGACTGGACACAGGGAATGTGATGCAGTCCTCGTGCATAAGCTGCATGTTCATGCTGCAGATGAGTCATTGTAATCCAATCACAACCACAGTGACTATCTGAGCACATGCACCGCTGAATGAAAGTCCTCCGATACGAGGATAATAAGGAGGAAAGAGAGGCTGCGTTCATACAGCCGTGTTTGAGAAGGAAGGAACTGAAATGTGTAATATCAAAGCAGACTCAACTGGAAACAGAAAATCAATGTGCAGGTCACTATCTGTGATAAAGACGACTAACGAATGAGGGAGAGATTAAAAATGCATTTAAGGTGTCAAAACATTTACACCAGGCCTGTTTCAATGTTAATGTCCTTTATGTTTACATGAAAACTCAATTCAATGAGAATACATGAGAGAAATTCAAAGATTTAGGTTTTATATCTACTTTAAAATCTTTAAACAGATGCTGATTAATGCATCTAAAATCATCTCTGAGAAAAGTGAATTCCTATAGTTCTAAAAAAGTGGGGAGAAGGATCACAACATTGACAGTTTATTCTTGACCTTGAACAAAGCAGTTAACAGAAGTCGTGGTCCATTAGTAGCTGCTCTGGTGCTTTCTGTCGTATTACAAATGGGAAATCGATTGATGGCATATGTTCAATTATTTATTTATTTTTGACTATTGTTTCCTTGTTCACATGTGAACTTATAATGTCAGCTTGTGCTCCGAGAGGAGGCAATGTGTAAGAATCTTTAATGCCATTAAACTTTATCTGCTGAGAGAGATCATGTGACACACACAAGCTCCAGAACAGCCACAAATGGACTTGGTGGTTGAGGTTGTATTTACTTTTTTCTTGTGTTGTCAACAGCACTGCATTTCATTTCATGTGAGTTACTTTATTTATCCCTTATTTAACCAGGAAGGTCCCGATGAGATATAATGTCTCATCTGCCCATCCTGGTCGAGGTGGGCGGCAATGAAGTAAAGGTTTCAAAACAAGGGAGACAAATAAGACAAACGAAAGAAAAACTGTGAACACACATTCATTGGTGTTCATCAAATGAATAATCATAAAAAATGTGAAAAACTAAATTTGCAAAGTTCAAATTTAGTCTCAAACTTGATAACCTGTGACCCCTGATGACCTCTGAATTAAAACTGCATACGGACGTAAAGAATCAGTTTCATTTGTATTATCACTTGTGATCCTTTAAGGCCCAAAACCTAGAATTTGAAAACTACTTGAGATCAACTTTCTTGAGTTTTTATTCTATTGACAACATATCATGGGATCTACATAATTAAATCAAGTATGTGTGAATGTGGGTTTTACCAGGACTATGATGGAGTTTCACTAAGATTTGTTGAAGCCGAATTAAAAGGAATCAACAATTGAAACCGCCGCGTCACCTTAATCAAGGTGTCTGAGTGCCGACGGCTCTCTGAACGATGATCCGTTGATCCCGCAGAAAATGAGGGGATCACATCAACACTTCAAAGAAAGACTAACACCTTATTAAGGCATGAGTGGAGAGTCAGTAAAAGGCCGACATTATAAACGTCTTAACTGTGATTAAAGCAGAAAGTGGTTTCAAATGAAAAAGAAACAAAAAAGTATTTACATTTCCTTATTTAGATTTAACTTGAAGTAGTTAAATTAGTTGAATGTCTGTTTTAGATATCAGAACCTTGCAGTGGCCTACATGTTTGGAAGCTGTTTTAACACAGATGATCTTATTTTCTGTCTCTGTGTTTCCACTCTCTCCACCGAGAAGCTGCAGAGGGTTGAAGGGCAGCTCTGAGAGGTCTGGCCATTTGGTGTCATGTTGAATAAACACAAAGGTGCTGGAGCTTTCTGAAGAGGAGGCATCAGGGGCCCCCACGCTGATCCTGTTTATGTGTTTTGGCCGGGTTTTGTTTTAAGTCGGAGGTGCTAAACACCTTCCCCCTGAGATAAAAGATGATTAATGCCTTTGAATGAGCGACGCTTTAATGGCTCGGGGCTACTTAGGCACTTCATTAGACTGAGCTCAGGCCCGGTTGACACACTCTGGGGTCCCGTCGCAGCAGAAACAAGAGGAGCTGTGCAGACTCCCTTTGAAGTGGCCCCTGCTTGTAAGAACACACGGCCCTTCAGCATGGAAATTTGATTAGCTCTCACTTCTCTTTTTGACTCCACACCACTCTGAGACCTGGTTTTTTGGGTGACATTTGGGGCTGACGCTCGATCCCGCATAAATATCAGAGGCACCACTGAGCCGAGGGACACTCAGGATCTGGCAGCCGAGGAGCAGATTGGGACTAAAGCCATGGACGTACCCTGGTCGTTGTTTCTCCTCCTGTGCGGCCTCCACATGACCTGTAAGTACTGTTTGCTTTGCTCTACTCTGCTGCTGCTGCTGTGACTTTATCCAGGCATCTACTCACTCACTGGATTAACACCATGTCTGCTCAAATGTACTTGCTAATCCCTTGTTATGTGATTAAACATGGGGAGAGGATGTGGTGCTGGAGTATATGAGTGTTAGGTTCACATGTGACTACTGCAACAGTGAGGTCAAATTACTACAACTGCATACTTTATATCACAAAACACTTCAGTATTATTTCTTAACTCTTGTTTTCATTATGGATACATGAATAAAACACTTATTTTCAACATAACCGTGCCAGGATCTCTTATTCATTTTTCCTACTGAGTAATTGTAACACATATTCAAACAATCAATGTTTTCCATTCACAAATAACCCTGAAGAAAACAAATCCTGCACAGTTGCCTTTTGTTTAATTTCATTTTAATATCGATTGCATGCTCACGACTTTACTTCCTCAAACCTAACTGATAACATGTTACGTCAACGATGGTGCTGATGTGTGTTTACGGTGTGTTTTCCAGTGACTGGGGTGTTTGGCAAACACATCGACCACACAAACCTGTTCACACAGAGAATGTGCTGCAAGAGACAAAGCCACTTTGTGTACCTAGGACAAGGTAACTCTCCACAATCCTTCAGCGAATACTGATTCATCTTTATGCTTTCTTTGGTGCTTTTTATAGAAATCCAAAAATTACTTCTCGTATTTCATTATTGGATCGTTCAATAGCAAATCACACATGTCTATGCATCTATCTATGCATCTATCTATGCATCTATCTATCTATCTGTCTATCTATCTATCTAACTCTCTGATCATTATTCTCTCTCTCGTCAGACATCTCTGGGAGTCCTGTCAGTGTGGACGTGGGGATGTGCAGGTCTCACTGTGGAGGAACCTCATCCAGAGCCTCCTCACATGAGTCCGGGCAGCAGGATTATTCTAAATATTCCTCCATGCTGGAATTCCTCAGGAGCAAAAAAGTAAGTGTCGTTTCCCATCCTCGCCACCAGGGGGCGTCACTGTGACTTGTGTGGTTATCTGATAAGGAGGAGTTGATTTTAAGGGAGTCAATGTGAAAACATGAAAACTTTTCTATTCGGCTCATATTTGACTATAAACTACTAAAAAAATAAACTTAAGTAAAAGTAAAAAATATATAAACGCATGATCAATAAATGGATTTGGGGCATTTTGGTGTAAATATCACACATGGGAAGTTGAGCCATTAATACTCAGACATGTTGTGACATGTGTGACTCGAACAATTAAAACAACTTTCCAATCACCTCCCTAAAGCTGAGGACCCGAGGAGCCGGAGCTGCTGAGAGCCCAGAGCCGCAGAACCAGAGGCCTTCCTGCGGGGCCGACCAGCTGTGTGAGCCCACCGGGATGCGTGTGGAGCGGCTGCTGCTGCTGGAGGGGCCCCGCGAGGTGGAGGTGATCGAGGAGTGTCACTGCGAGATCAAGCTGAGTCAGTGCATCCGAGTCCCGGCGCTGAGGACGTACTTCTCCGAGACTCCGTACGAGACCGTCATCGACGTGGGAGGATGCTCCAGCTCCAAGGGCTCCCCAGGTGTGTGTGTGTGTGTGTGTGTGTGTGTGTGTGTGTGTGTGTGTGTGTGCAACAAACACAACAGAGAGTGATGTAACAAACAGCAGGTCATCACGTGCAAAATTATTCAGTTAGAAATCAGAATTTAAGTCACGTAAAGTTTTTTACACATTCACTTGTTTTTTAAATTCATGAGTCAAGTATTTTGATCATTGCACATCATAATATCTGGTTCAGATTGATTATGTTCGTGCTTTGAGTTAAGATTTAAAAAGCATAGTGTACCTGAGGTTTAGTTCTATAAACTACAACTTAGGTCCAAAGTTCAAGCCATTAAACTTATGTGGTGGCTGATGTGGGATTTATTGCTGTTCACTATACTGATACAGTTCAAGCTCAAGGTCTTGAGGTCTAAGGATTTGGTTTCATTATAATCAAACAAAGATCACAATCTAATTGAAAATACAGAGTTTCACACCAGTGTTCAGATATCACTGATGTAAACTAACATTTAACTGCATCAGAAAAATACACGTAATGAAACTCCTGTCGAATACATTGAAAGGCCCATCGCAGAGCTGCCTAGGATTTATCTGTTTGTTTGGATTTGGATCTCAGATTATAACTGAGCTTTTCTTCCTCCATATAAATCTAATACTTCCTTTAACAATCATTCACAGAGGGATTCTCCTGTGTCCCCACCAAGTTTGACTCAGCTCTGGTGGACACCCCCAACAAAGTGGATCTGATCCAGACTGTGGTGGCCTGTGAGCTGAAGGAAAGCTGCTACAGGGTCCCATACGTGGAGTATTACTATGAAATAGTCCATCATGCAGATGGGGTCAAAGAAGAGAGGCTAAAAGTAAGAACACAAACTTTTCTTTCTATTTTCATCCACAATTTACACCAGAGCTCATTTCTTCTTGGATTAGCTCGGCATACTTAACACCAGCAGAGCGTTTCATTTCTGATGCCGCTTTCACACTCTTTTGTCACCAAGCTGAGAGGAAACGGGGAAGGAGTTTGGTGCCAGACAGTAATGAAGTATCTTCATTCATCACACACGTGTGGGAGGCGGCACTTAATCAGTCTAATCTGCTGGCCAGTGGCTGGCACCGCACGTCCTGGTGTGAAGGACTTCAGGATGTGTCGCATGCTTATTCATGCGCAACCTGCAGCAATACACATTATAGACTGGCAGGTTTCATTTTGAATAGAGACAGAGCATTTCTTCCACCTCACTAACTTCCAATGAACACGGAGAAGAGAAAATAGGTTTCAGAGGCTAAAACTCCTCCAACACTTGTGTCAAAACTAATTTATTTTGAAACAAGCACTTTTGACCTCAACAGGATCTAAAAAACATTATAAATTGGATGTTTGTTCCGATCATATTGCAAATAATACAAGCTCTACATTCTGTGCAGTAAAACCTTTTCTGGGAAACAAGGATTTAGATCCAGTACTATATATCCCATTCAACAAACTCTTTAAGGAATTGACTACAAACATTCTGAAAGACACAGAAATCAGGCCTTATTTGTGATTTCAACATCAGACATTTTCTAGATGAAGGAGTTGATAGGGAGAATTTTAAACTGCCTTCCTCCTCTCCCTGCTGTTGGTCATCTGCTGTGTTCCTGCACCAGAGGTGCGAGCAGAGTGCAAACACAAATGGCCCCTGCAGGTGTCGAATCAAAGCAGTTAACATGATAAACAGCAGCTGGGCCCCGGCTCAACTGGGTCAATATTTGTGACCAGCTGTGAGCTCATTGCCCTCTCTCTGTGTTGCTAATTTTCCACAGGAAATAGATGTGGGCAGATGTTTGGGAGGCTGCACTACAGGAAACCGATGCCTTCTCAGGTAAGTATGAATGCAGCTGCTGCAGACACACACACACACATATATACACACACACACACACACACCCACACATACACACACACACACACACCCTCTGCCACTCCCATAACAATTGCCCGTGAGCTCTGACACCTCCTGAGCTCTGCATGTTGGCCTTTCTGGTTGATTCCTACAATCCGATTTTTCTTTTAAACTTTCAGCATTAACGATTGTGGCAGACCTCTTACATCATCGCTGCCAGTTTATAATAAGAACAATAACAACAATTTGTGCGTGCGTGCTTGTTACATTCTAGGAACAACACCGGCTATTACAAACTGCAGTTTAATTGTTTATTTGAAATTTCTGAGCGAAAGAAACTATGTTATGGGAAACACAGCACATTCAGAGATTGTTTAATGCTGTGAGAGTGATTTTAATCTTTTTATTTTTCTATTTTCTTCCTCAGAAGTCCCTCTGATCCTGGGAACTGCCACTTATGGGCTGAAGGACAGTCCAGCTCCTGCGTCCCTCAAAGCTATGAGAGCCACAGCTTCCTCAACCATCATGGAGTGTTACGCACAGTCCTCTCCATCACTTCCTGCCTTTGCCAAAACTGAACACTGCGCCTCCTAGTGGGAAAAACAAGTTCCAAGACCTGCAGGGGCCTCCCAAAGCTTGACTCACAGGGACTAAACCCTATACTGTGACATTCATTCTTTTCTACTCTAAAGTATTATTGTATTATATGTAATATATGTAAAAATGATAATTTTGTAAATAAATTTAATACCACAACAACATATAAATTGTCATTTTACCACAGTGGAAAAGCTTTTATCCAAACTGCAAATAAATCACATCACATGTTGGATATCACATTACCAAGCAAAGTAAATAGTGAGATGGCCCACCTTTGATTTTATACACAAGATGACTATAAAACACATGTATTGCTTGTATAAGTGCAGTAAAAAAGTAAATTTACTGTGAAATGAAATACTGGAAGCACCGAGTCTATGAGACTTCTGAGACAAAAATCTATGAAATCTGAAATAAATTTGAATAAGAATTGGGATCAAATGGTCAGAATTAAGCTTTGAAGAGGAGCTTCAGATGAGCACATGAAAGATAAACCAACTTTTCAAACGTGTCTTTGGAAAAACCCACGTGCACGCAGTTAATGGCTCCTTATTCTGATATCAAAGTGTGAAACAACACTTTTCTGTGACTGCCACAGTCTGTTTCATCTGAAGTCACGTTTTATGGCTTGTTTGTAAGGTGCCGCGTTGGAAAAGAAAACTTTGATCTCCTAAATGTTTATTACAGTGCGGGGGGGGGACTTTTTTCTCGGTCTCAATTTGTCTTTTGCTCGTGCGTAATTGTGCGTAAAGATCAAAGGGACCAAATGGCACAGGGAGCCTTTTCTGAACCGAACTAGAAATAACTGGATAAAGAAAACAAGTCCAAAGAGTAGCTTTCAAAAATGTACTTTTTTTTAGAATCAGTGTTAACATATTCAAACATCTAACATGGATTATATAGCATATATATTTCTGTATCTAAATTGGTGATGGATAAATGCTCTACTAAATCGATATCTCCACTATCTCTGTAAATATTTGTGGGATTTTACACAGTGAGGTTTATTCAGAATGAACATGATCAAATTGCTGTAAATAATATAAAGAAATGTGTCTGTTATTGGGAGAAAGGAAACATGGGTGAAGCGATTTTACGCACCACGCCAGTTTATGCCATGAAAGAGGCCTTTCCATGTGGATTTCTTTTAAAAAAAGAAAAACCAACTAAAAAGTTGTGGTGATTATCCAGCTGTAACTGAATAAGCAGTTATGTAAATCTTACGACGTGTAGCCAGTGACACCAGCCTCTTTGTCGAAGTAATTGGTTTCAACCTAAAACACTGTGCCCATTATTCTAAATTAATGGATTCATTTAGGCGCAGTTAACCTCCCATGGTGCGTGCACTTCCTCACGAGATCAGCTCTAAGTTTAGTCTCTTTCTATTATTTACAGTCTAAAGTTATATATGAGAGAAACATACATATTAGAGAACGACACACTCACTGGTCACTAAGTATGGAGCAGTGCCAAAGGCTGGATTTAGTTTATTTTAGCCTTTATTGCCAGACGTGGAGACAATGGGCTTGAATAAAATCTACGGTGGGGTTCACACCTTGTTAACGCTGCAATTAGTCTCCCTTTACATTCGCTGATTGGTGATTTACATTTGCGACCAAATAGCATCTTTACTGCTGTTTACCGAGGCTCTGGGGGCACTGGAGAGCGAACGGGGGCATTTGATATAAAAAGTGGAGCCTCCAGGATCCCGCAGTCACTCCAACTCCAAGTTGCTGGCTGGATATTCCAGGACACCGGTGCGCCACCGACCGACTCACGCCTTAGAGATGCTCATGTTCGCGCTCAGCTTCGCCGCCCTGGTGTGCACGGTGGCTGCACGGCCTTCACTCAACTACCTGGAGAATCACTTCACCGCCGAGAACGAGTCCGAGGAGGTTCGTTCAGCTGCCATCAAGAGGCTCCTGGAGGTTTTTGGGATGGAGGACCCTCCTGCTATCCATGGACACAAGCAGGCACCTCAGTACATGCTCGACCTGTACAACACAGTGGCTGATGTGGACGGTGTCACCAAGGACCCATATCTTCTGGAGGGGAATACTGTGCGCAGCTTCTTTGACAAACGTAAGATCCAACGTGCGTTTTCAACTGGCTGCTGCAGAAGATGAAGCATTGGAGGGTGTTTGGTTTCTAATCATATCATTTTCCTTGCAGTGCGAAGTGAACAGGTGGAGTTCAGGTTCAATTTGTCCACGGTTTCGAGGACTGAGAAGATTCTAACTGCAGAGCTGCATCTTTTCAAGCTGCGACCTCAGGCAACGCTCACATTCAACAGACACCACTTCTGCCAAGTATGAGACATGAAGAAATCCCTAAAGATAAAGTGCAAACAGTGATGCTTCTCTCTCCTGGATGTGTCTAATGTTTGGCTCCCTTCATTCTGTTTCCTCCAGGTCAGTGTTTATCAGCTGCTTGACACCAGCAAAACCAACAACACACAGGGGAGGAAGCTGCTGTCTTCTCGGCTCGTCCCTGTCCACTCCACTGGTTGGGAGGTTTTCACCATCACAAAAGCTGTAAGTAGCCTCTTCTATGGAAGTTCCTCTGCAAACACGGAGGAAAATGTTGCATTTCAACTGACCACCGTGATCTTCCTCCTGAAGGTTCGCTCCTGGACGGTGGATGAAGGCAGCAACCTGGGCCTCCATGTGGTGGTTCAGACCCTGGGAGGAAGCCAGATGGACATGAAACTGATCCGCTTCGCTTCAGGGCGCAACCACCACCAGAGCAAACAGCCCATGTTGGTTGTCTTCACTGATGACGGACGCAGGTCCACTACTCTTGAGAATGCAGGTGAGTTTCTTTGGTCAGATTACGTCTAGTGTTGGTAAAAAAAAATATACAGCTCAGGCATTTTTGTGGGCTTACTGCTGATGAGCAGGGGTGTAGAGAGGAATTTTGAAGCCCAGATGGAGCTCTGGCCCCCACAGCCCTCATTCTTATCCAATCACATCGACTTGATTTATGGTAATTTCAACAACTCAGTTTTCTACAGAGTGACATCACCTTCTCTTAAAGTTTAGACACAATGGAATGTATCTTATTCCTAATATATATATATTTAAATATATTATTTTAGCTTTTATTATTTAACCAAAAAGCCAGCGAGCATTTTGTAATTGTTGTGTAATTCATAACAAGTAAGCATTTTAATTATAAGTGCTATTGTGTTCAGATTAGTTTCGTTATGTTTCAATTTAAACTTACTCTTCATAACTCAACTTTGCACTTTACACAGAACCTTAGCATGATGTCTAATGTAAAGTTTTTCGTTCCTCCACAGATTCAAATGATACCCCAGTCACCCCCAGCCTGCCCCACGCCCCCATCATGTCAGGCCCGCCCTCCCGCAGCGCTCGCTCCCTGGACTACAGCGAGGAGGAGGGCGTGACCACTTCCTGCCAACGCCAACCACTCTATGTGGACTTCGAGGAGATCGGCTGGTCGGGCTGGATCGTCTCTCCCAGGGGTTACAACGCGTACCACTGCAAAGGGTCTTGCCCGTTCCCCCTGGGTCAGAACATGAGGCCAACCAACCACGCCACCGTTCAGTCCATCATCAACGCCCTGAAGCTGATGAAGGGCATCGAGCCGCCGTGCTGTGTGCCAGACAAGCTCTTCTCCATCAACCTGCTCTACTTCGACGATGACGAGAACGTGGTGCTGAAACAGTACAACGACATGGTGGCGGGAAGCTGTGGCTGTCACTGACATCGACCGGTCAACGGCGGCACATGTGTTCTTAGAAAACACAATGTAAGTCTAGTTTGGGGACATTGAGACCTCCTGCCCTTTAAAACTCAACTGATCCCAATGTGTGCTGTGTCCCACATGTGACATTGTAATATATGTAAATATCCATAAATTATAATATATGGCAGTGATGGAAGCGACATCCTGTGAAAGATGTAAATGTGTATATTTTATGGTTTCTGGTGTGAATGATTTTACAGTCAGAATAAATAGTGTAAAGAAAGAATAATGTGTGAATTTATTTGTCTTGAAATCGTACAAACCAAGCGACACAATTAATTCCTGAACACCATGGTCCACTCTCTGCAGTTTGTATGACCACAAGAAATATTTAAACAAGAGACACATTAGCAATTTTCCCCGAAAGTTAAAGTTTTAATAAAGTTTTAGACACGTATGTGATTCACAAAAAAATTTCCATTTCAAACTAAATCATTTATAAATATAAAAGCATAAGTTATGCTTTTGGAAAGGATCATTTTTAAAGCCTGACGATGGAGATTTTAGAAATGTATCTGTGCAACATTCATGTATGAAAATGTTCCTGAATATTTTCAGCAGTATTTTTAAGAAGAATGCAGCTAAATAAGAAGTAGTATATGATAGCAGTTAATGTTGCTATCGTTGCCATATTTCCCTGAACATTATTTGTGCATGAATAACATCAAGTGAGTTTAAATGTTGGTCAGTCTTAAGGTTACTCTGCCTCTTCCTCTACCAACCATTCCTCTGCGGGACTCTGCAACTCATGTCTGGAGAGATGTTGCACGACTCCCACACCGAAACAGTCGCCCAGCACATTGGTGGTTGTCCTCAAACGATCCCTGTCCACAGTCACACGGGAAGTTTAGAAACTCATTAGTGTGACTTTATGACACACAGAAGATCAGGAAGACTCATGGGTTTCAGTAAATGTGTAAACCCGAGAAATACTATGTAACTATATCTATAATATACATGATACCACACTGGCAGTGTAATTTTCAGACTGTATTTTTGTTGTGAGGTTGTCATGACACACACTTACAGCATCCAGTCAACTGTGACGATGTATGAAATGCCTTCAAGGGGCAGGCCAACTGATGACAGCACCATCGCCATGGTTACCATGCCGCCCTGTGGGATACCTGAGCCTCCGATAGCTGCCACTGTCGCAGTTATACTGAAATTAAATGAAAGAGAACAAATGATAATGATAGAAAACACATGTGAAAATAACAATAAATAACAACATGGAAGAAAAAGGAAACATGGTTGAGTTAAAAACACAAATATAGAATGAGTTCATATGAATTATTGATTATTGATCAAATGCTCTGGTTCAGTGATGAGTTAATAACAAAATAATGTTAATAGATAAATCAATACCTCAACATTTAATCCAGTATTACTACCCTTTTCTACAGTACGTATAAATGGCTATTCAATAAAGATTTAGAAAAATGACATGATAATTTCTGTTATTTAAAATTAAAATTTGATCATACCTGACGATGATGATTTGACCCAGATTAAGTTCCACGTTGTAAACCTGGGCTATGAATATGGCAGCAACAGCCTCATAGAGGGCTGTTCCATCCATGGTCAAGACGGCTCCTATAGGCACCATGAAGCGAGTCACCCGTTTGTCCATTCTGAGATTATTCTCCAGACAGTGGATACTGATGGGTAGAGTCACAGAACTGTGGGGGGGGGGGGGTACAATAAAACATGAATCGTGATCCCATCATTATTCAAAATGCAGCAGCGTCTTATGTTTGTTTCAATCCATTTTTATAGCATCAAATAACTAATAAAAACCAACTGGACAAATACAACATTGGACAAATTATGACCTATAATTCAACCAGCCACCAGGGGGCAGTCAAGATAATTCGGCTTAAGGAGGGTCCTCCATCTTTATCTTTATATCTTTCTCTGGTAATAGCATGTAGCTTGTAATGAGCTGTTAATCCTGGAAGTTCCTCTCACCTGGATGAAGTCCCAAAGGCGGTGGTGAGAGCCTCGAGGAGACCAGCCATGAACTTGAAGGGATTTTTGCGAGCGAAAATTAAATAGATGAGCGGCAGGGTGAACAAGCTGTGGATAACCAGGCCAGTGGTGACAGTGAGAGTATACATGCCAACCTGAAGTCCTATAACACCAGTGTCCTTCAGCTTCAAAATCTGTCCTGCAACCAAGAAGAAGATTCCTACCGGGGAATACCTGCGGGAGAAGAGAGGTGAGATGCAGAAAATGTGATGTAGTGTCAAGAAATTACTGTAGAGGGCGACTGTCGAGCAGTTTGATACCATATCCTCATATTTTACTCACCAGATGAACACACCAATCAGATGCATGATGGCTTTACTGAGGCAGTCAAAAAAGTCCTTCAGAGGTTTCGCCTCATCCTCCATTTTGGCCAGGACGAGGCCAAAGGCGATGCAGAAGACCACTAAGCCCAAAATATTGACCCCATTTATGGTGCCTGCCATCGGTATTGTGTTATCTAAAGTAAAATCAAGTTACGTTACTACACATCCATATAATAACCACTTAGAACAACAGGTTCAAATTACAAAAGTGAATGGTTTTGTGGAACTTACTTTTTGCCGTCATGTTGACATCAATAGTTGCCTTTTCAGAATAAATTGTTTTATACTAAATAAAAGACAAGAAAATCCTCATAGGTGATGATTGTTTAAAAAAAAGCAAGAGAGAGAAAAAACACCAGCATCAGTGCACAGCTCACCTTGCTGAAACAAGCCTCCACCAGATTTGGAGGAAACATATCTCTGCAAACCAAAGAAAGAGTGAAAATAGTGAATCATAGAATAACAAGGACTGGATATTCGACAAAGCTGTTTGATGCACACCTGATCAGATCCAGAAAGGCATCCAGCGTCTGCATGGTGTCCGATGTACCACCAGCGGACACTGAGGTGGGCATGGGTGATTTCCCTGGCTGGATGAGAACCACTAGGATGATGCCAGTGAACACAGCCAGGAAGGTGGACGTGGAGTAATAACAAAAAGCATAGAGCCCCATTTTCCCAGAGGACGTCTTGTCCACCGACGACATGCCTGAAACGCAGAGACGTGTATATCATGTAAAATAACTGTGTAACTTCAGGTAGAATTATTACAATGTGATAATTCTTGCGTTGTTTATTTCGGTTTGGTGTTGTTGGTTTCATTGCATTGAGAATACTTCTTATATTTAGAGACAGAGAAATGCTGAACTTTTGGTTTAATGTTGGGCTCTTACCTGTGATCAGACTGGAGATGATGAGAGGAAGCACCATCATCTGCAGCATTCTCAGCAGCAGGTCTCCAGGAAACATGAAGTAGTAAATTTGCAGGTCGGTCATGTTAGCGGCACGTAGAGCAAAACCCAGGACGACACCTTAAAGAGGTTAAAATAAACATTGTTCAACTTTACATGCACTGTCAGTGGTTAAGAAAGCTATAAAGCTATAAAGCTATAAAACGACCACTTCAGTAATACAGTGATTATGAACAAGTGATGATATCTGTTCATTATCAGCCTGGTCTAGATTACATGAAAATACAGTTCACTCTGTCTATTGACTCGTAATATTATAGGTTGTTATTTGTGAACATTAGACAATTCCTCACAAAATGATTCATTTTAAAGCAAAGGAAAAAATACTGTGCCATGAGGACTGATCCTGAATAAACAATTTACCTGCATCTACAAATTTGTTTAAAAGATTTTTCTCCACTTGTTGATTAAGAACTCTCTCGTATGACAGTCAGGAATATTCTAAGACAAAAATCACGCTAGAGGCCACTGACATGTTCACATGAAGTAACATAATATCTCGGATTATAAACCTTAAAATGAAAAAGGTTTAAAAAATTAATTTAGGAAAATATTAATTCAACATGGAAATTGAAAGAAAGTTAACAAAGAGAATTACGTTTTACTTCAAGTGGAAATATTTAACACACTGACTTACCCAGGACGATAGCAGCCACAGTGAGCAGAATAAACGCATTTCTCCTGACAAAACCTTTAACGTTACATTTACAAAGACACAGCGAATTCAAACTCGAAGGCTCAGAGTTCTCCAGACATGTGTCACTGTCTTGGCCAACTAAAGTGTCGGTGCTCGGCTTACAGCAGAGAGGCATCTTGCTCACAGACTGCGGATGAAAGGAGAAAGAGGAGTCTTCACAGGGCGTTACAAAAAAACATAACAGTTATCCAGTGTGTTATAAATGTTTAAAAAGGACAGAAATCATTGATTCAAACCTTTGGAAGAGCTGGAAAGTTCCTGATATGTCCCTCTTGCCACTTGTTGAAGTCTCAGTTTAAAACCAGTATTGTAACTTATTCTAACTGAGTGTGTTGTGTTCCTCCTATGCCACAGGCTGTTGACACAGCAATCACTATATGTAGCAGTGAATCTTAGATGTCAGAGAAAAAATTAACTATCTCAAGTTAACGGTGTGACTTTCTTTCACTTGGAAGTGTGCCTGCAATAATGCGGCGATCATTTGGCAAAGCAACAGTTTTTCAGGACATGTCGGACATGATATAAAAGTAATTAAGGGAAAGGTAAACGCTCCAGGACAGAAGCAAACACACAAACAGAATTAGAGAGAGAGACCAGGAACTGTCGTCATCATGTTCCAGCACTGACAGACTAGTTGTTAAAGTGAGAACTATAAGAATGATGATCATGGATGTAAAGATGTTTTCAATGATAGCAGCAACAGTTCAGATACCAATGATAACAGTATTATTAATTGTTGTTGTCGGAATCCAGCAGCTCTGGGGTCAGAGATCCTTGCGAGATGGGAAAAACACAAAGTTAGTGACATGTAGTAGAATAAATGGGGGATAGAGAGACAGAGAGAGAGGGATATTCTCAGGGCATGATGGGAACTCCCCCAGCAGTCTACACCTATAGCAGAATAACTAAGGGATGGTTCAGGTCTCACCTGATCGAGCACCAACCTTAAATGTAGAGGTGGTGTCTGCCTCCAGAACCCAGAGTGGGAGCTGGTTCCACAGGAGAGGAGCCTGGTAGCTGAAGGTTCTACCTCCTGTTCTACTCTTACAGACTCTGGAACCCAGAGTGGGAGCTGGTTCCACAGGAGAGGAGCCTGGTAGCTGAAGGCTCTACCTCCTGTTCTACTCTTACAGATTCTAGGAACCACAAGAGAGCCTGGGTTTTGGGAGTGAAGTGATCTATTTGGACAATATGTTGTTATGAGCTCTTTATGAAGTGGCTTGATTGTTAAGATCATGGAGCAGGATGTTGAATTCTATTGGGAAATTTTAAAGGGAGCTAAGGCTAAGACAGGACTAATATGATCTCTTCTCCACTTGTGCTTTGTACACAGACATACATGGACATCCTACAAATAAAGAGTTACAGTAATCCTGTCTGGAGGGAACAAAGGCATGGAGGAGTTTCACAGCCTCTCTCTGAGACAGGATGTTTCTTATTTTAACAATATCGCGCAGGTGGAAGAAACATGACTCCAAGGTTCCTCACAGTGGAGCTGGGGACCAAACTAACACCATCCAGAATGACTACCTGGTCAGACAGTGTTTCTTTGAGATGTTTAGGGCCAATTACAATGGCCTCAGTTTTGTTCCATTTTAAAAGTAAAAGGTTATGGCTCATCCAGGCCTTAGTGTTATTGAAACATTCCCGAGGTTTAACTTGTTTAACTATGTTGGGCATGAAAATATATTGATAAATATATAATCCAAGGATTAAGTTCTTTGCTGTGAAACGATTACTAAACCCTGTCTGTGAGGAGTGTAACTTGAGCGGTGACGGAGGCGTTGACCATAGAGTGGCACTAAAGGGGGTTGATACCACTTGGCATGATGCTGAACGACAGCCCGTGCTCATTGTGAAAGGGGCTGCTATTCACAATGGAGAAAACGACGAAATGCTGCCATTATAATGGGGACCAAAGGGCCCGGTGGCAGCCCGACACCTGATCTCCTCTTTGGCCCTGGCTTCCTTTTGTCCTGGTTTTTCATATCTGACAAATCCACACACCCGGAGGCAGATGATGCTGGAGCAGCAATGGACCTGAGGCTCGTCACCTGTGCACTCAGACATGGGGAATAAACAGACCATCTTCACAGCACAGCAGCTCGATGCCTATCAGGTCTGTGTCAGTCGTCCTCACTCGCTCTGAATACGGCTCAATGCAAACTGCTGGCACCTGTAAACAAGGTTAATCCGTTAATTAATGTGATGCATCCTTGAGGGCAACATTAAATTAGGTGAAAGCTTCTCTGATGGTGTTTGTTGACAGATGCATTAGAGTTAGTGATCATTTATCTCACATTTTGAATGATATAATATTTTTGCATATGAAGTCATTGGTGTAAAGTAACTAAGAAGAATTTACTCTACTTAGTTACATCACTGTCATAGTATGTATAAGTACAATTTGAGGTACATGTTATATTATACAACGGTTCAATTATTTTTCTTTCTTAACTCTACATTTACATTTTCATATTTTAAACCAGGCAAAAATAAAGTAGTTAAAATTAACTTTCTGATTTGCTTTATGTGTGCATTTCACATGTACATCTACCATAGAGTATTTCTACTGTCTGATATCGGAAACCATCTGAATATTTCTTTCTCCGCTGCATCAGGCAGATAATGAAGCACAAACAAAGAAGAACTTCTACCTCATCTTCTTTGCACTTTCCTGTTTTTGCTTTTATTTGATTGTATTTGCAGGACTGTACTTACTTCACGAGAAAAGAAATCCTCAGGTGAGCACACAACAACTCGTGTTTTCACTCATATCAGAACAATGCTCAGTCATATTCACTGTAACACACCTGACACAGCTGAACTGTCGTCTGCACAGTACTGCACTGTAACTCTAAACTACTGTATCAGCAGCCCTGTGCTACTGTGGGGCAGGTGACCACTGAGATCACATGGGATTTCAGATATTGCTATTGGAGAACTCTTTCAAAAGTTTACCATAACAAAAGGTTTTAATGCCGTCAGTGCATTCTTCAACACGATCCTTTCTTAACCACTGACAGTGCATGTAAAATACACAACTGTAGGTATCTTGTACATTTCTTTAAACCTTTTCCAGACTCTTCTACCGCTATCGGGATTTGGCACCGCAGCTCGTTCCCCTTGACTACACCAACCACCCAGATGTGAAGTTACCATATGAGCTGATTGGGAGCATGCCAGAGCTGAAGGTAGACCCACTGGTCCGCGCACACCCTGCAGACCCACGCTCCCCCTGTGCGCCCAATCCATAATTAATGGCCAACTAATCGACAGAATTCTATGAGAGGTTATGTTACCCGACTCCTTTAAACTTGAAGAAAACAGGTGGGTCCCCGAGGACACACTTTGTGGAAATGGGTCAATTATATGCTTCTTCACACGCTTACATAAAGGTCCACAGGTCTGTTAACACGCGGGTCGCTGACACGCGCTGACAAAGGGAGGGGGCTGTGAACATCCCGCTCTCCCCCATAGACGTTCACTTTATCACAAATTGTGACAATTTTTTAAGTTTTCACTAGAAAAACAAAAAACACACATATCATAAGAGATGAAAAACGAAATAAAACTTGTTTTGGTGACGTTTTTAACTTGGTGTTCCCTGCGTCCAGGACAACCCATTCCGTCAGAGGATCGCTGAGGTTTTCTCTGAGGACGGAGAGGGAAACATGACCCTGGAAGACTTCTTGGACATGTTTTCAGTCCTGAGTGAGATGGCTCCACGGGACCTCAAGGCCTACTACGCTTTCAAGATATATGGTAAAATGGATTTAATCACATTAAGGATGTCCTCATTTGTATTGCATAGGTATGAACTAGCTTTACTTCACTTTTAACACCATATAGACTGTAAATATAAAGATGGATGACACATCCTCCCACGCTCCTGAAACGAAGCCATTCTGTCATTTGGAGTCAAAGTTTACACAGCAGCGATCGGGGGATGGAGCTGCGGTATTGAGGTCCTGCCAATATATGCTCGACCAATAAAAAAAAGTCAGTCTCAGATGCCAATCGTGACTTCATCCCATTTTTATATCAGAACAAATTAAAACCAAACTTAAACAGGAACTCTTGAACAAACTTCAGTGTGATGAGAACTACCTAAAACGACAGAAACCATCTTCCAGAAAATATGTTTGACGTTTACTTTGGTTATTTGTTATTCTGGTTACGTCGAGACGATGTGAACTTACATTTTACTTAACAAATTCAAACAGGAAGGTAATAAGTTCAAATTATGAATATATGTTACAAGTATTTAAAAAGTGTCCTGATAAAACTCAACAAAACCACACAAATCTTAACTTCTCCTTGGTGGGTTAAACAATATGAAACATGTGAATCACGCATTTTAATATGACGCAACCATATGACAACAGAGGGCGCACGGTGAAGAGTTATCGAGCTGTAAGCATGACGGATGGTGCATGGGTTGTTATGAATGATTAACCAGCCCATTATAGAGGCAAAGCGCTTGTCAAAGCCCCCCCCCCCCCTAATTAACAAACGATGACAGATGAAGAAGTTACATTCACATTGTCATGGTCATGGATCAAGGAAAGTTTGCATCCATTATTCAGACCCACGGAGGAGAGAAATCAAGGAAGGTGACACACTGCACAAGCACAGTTGCATCATGATGAAGATGCATGAGCTCAGAAGCCCAGATGCCAAATAAAACAATGGGAAAGTATAAAGCCTTAACTGTGGTTACATAAAAAAAATATTTTAATTATTTTTAGTTTGCCTTTGACAAAGAAAAGGAAATTAGATCAACAGTCTACAGAAATCAAGCACTGATTAATGAGTGATCCTTTCTCTACATCTGCAAGACTTCAACAATGACGACTTTATCTGCAAGTCAGACCTGGAGAAGACTGTGAACAAACTCACCCGCAACGAGCTGACGGAGGACGAGGTGAGGATGGTGTGTGAGAAGGTGATCGACGAGGCTGACCTGGACAACGACGGACGTCTGTCGCTGGAGGACTTCCAGCACATGATTGTCCGAGCCCCAGACTTCCTCAGGTAATCCACCGTCGACCAGGCACCACTGGATATAATGGAGAGTAAACACTAACTTTACAGAGTGGAATGTGCATTAAGCTTTTAACTTTTTTAATATGACGTGCCAAATTAAAAAATTTAATCTGAATTCTCTCATTTCTGTCTGCAGCACCTTCCACATAAGGATATAAGGAAATGAGTCAGTACATTTCTCATTTTTAAGACTGACGGACGGTTAATGCCACAGAATGTCTCCTGACGCCTGCGACAGCAAAATCTACAATTACATCCTGTTTCTGCTTTGTTTGTGTATTTTGTACAAAAATGTTCACTAAAAAAACCCTCACAGACTTTCACATTTCGCATCCAGAGTAAGTACTATGACTCATCTGTTCTTTAATCTTGGCATCACTGTCCACATCTTTTATTAGTGAAGCTGCAGAAATAACACTGATCATGGTTTGACTGTAGGACTTAGGACTGTCATCAGGTTGAAGCATCAGCAAATCCATCATTAATTATGATCAACAGTAGATTTTCCAGATACAACAGAGCATAACAGAAACATGTCAGAATATTCACCGGACCAATAAAGGCAGTTATTTGTGAAGAAAGCGGTCGAGCTTCGTGGTTTCAACTGACCGTGTCGATTCCTCTGGGTGAATAAAGAAACCATCACAAAGAAGCTGAGCTTTATAATCTTATTTTATTAAATCAAAATTACACATATATCTACAAACAGTAGATATATTTTCATGTGTTTAGAAAGTACAGTACAATTTAAGTAGATCTCTTTTTCAATGTGATATTTACAATGTTCTTTCACATTTCTCTTTTCTAAAATGTATTACTCTCCCTGTGTACTTCACAATGTATGGAATGAAAATACGGCTGTAAAAACAGATGAACGTTATATTACGACTGGTGATCGGAGTATAAAGAAAGAGGATATGATTTAAAAAACAAAAATCTGAAAAAAGGGAGGTATAATGTCAGCTGAAAACGACACAGCTCGAGTGCCACGAAAGCTCCCTACATTTCTGTGGATGACTTAAAGCTACAGCATCACTCAAGTGAGAAAACAGCAATATGCCTACATTTCAACGTGCAGATTGTTCCTACTCAACCATCCACCCATGGTGAATTTCTCTCTCATCCATGTCGCATCGCAAGTTTCTACCAACAGAGCAAGTTTTTTTTTGGCTCAAACGAAACACCCACACATTCATCTTTACACGTCTACGACTACGTCTGAAAATCACTTTACACACATATGCACAGGTCCAAGACTCACGATGCATAGCTCACCAACAACAGGACTGAGTAATGGCGGTTAAGACAAATGGTCACGAGGTCCCAAATTATTTGATATTAAAAAAGAAAAGTGCAGGCAAGCAAAGACAGACCCCTCCCCCCCCCCAGACACAAACGTTAGCAGGAAACATGAGGAACAATGGAAAGATTATTAAATATGAGTTGAGGGAACACGTTTGCATCACACAGGTCTAGTTTACTGTGGCTCGTGGTGGTTATGGTTTAAATTTGAGTGTGGGTGGTGTGATGCATAATGTGCCTCTGGTGCCACCTAGCTGTTTAACTGAAGGGCCACAACAAGACAAAAGCACATTAACAAGTACAATAACACTAATGGGACCACCTGTAAGTCATCGCTTTTAAACTGGCTTGGCAGGGCAGTAGCATAGAAAGAGAGGCTCACAAATTCTCTTTTAAAAGTATATATAACTGGTAAAGTAGGATTTTCAGTGAACTTCTACCAGGAGAGTGGATCAAACCGCAAAGGAGATATAGTCAGTTATAAGTAGGTGCATTAAAATTTGGGACTTATCCCGATTTTTGTTACCGAGACTCCTCAGATCGAAATCTTTTTTCTACTAGGTTATTGTATTGCTGTACTGCAAACTATCACTCGGCACAGACTACACACAACACACGAGTTACTGGTAAAGTGCAAGGAGAGCTGCTGGGAGCGCAAGATTGGGGGTGCGGGGGTTTACGGCGTGAAACCTCAAGTGATTTTATTTGCTGATCGAAATAACCAGAGACGTCATTTAGCTTGAGAGTGATTTAGAGCTGCGACAAAACCTTCACGTGACTCAAATTAAAGGCAACACTTTGATAATCTTTTTTTAAAGTGCAAATATTAGATATATTTCAAATAGCGAGACACATTTGCTGGTTCCACTTTCTCAAAATGTGACGATGTCCTGCTTTTCTTGTTTTTTGCGTGGGTTTTGACATTTTGTACCAATCAATTAATCAAGAAAATAAGTGGTGGATTAATCAAAGGTTACAGTTTAAGACATGATCTTGTAACACCAAAGTCAGTCAGGTGTGTTTTAAAATCAAGTGACAGTTTATAGTCGCATCAATTGACTGTCAAGGGCTGCATGCAATAGTAAGAGCAGAAGATATAAAGACTTTCAAACCAATTCCTCTGATCATTGACTGAAGAATATTCGATAGGATTCTTAACCGCCGAAAAGAATAGAAGCTTTGTGCAGCTCGGTTTCACCGGAGTTCAAGCCGATCAGACTCTGGATATATTTATCACACAAAATAGGAAAAACCACTGATAAAAATAGATGTCAATGTCACATTTGTATTTATAATCCCTAAACCTTGACAAAACTATACGATTTTTCTTTCTCGGTTGTGCTACCACCTGTATGAAATGTATAAGAGACTAATACAAGAAGTAAGAACGTGTCTTTTTTTGGGTGACGTGGAACATCTGGGCAACGCTCCAGGTCCAGTCCTCCACCAGTCGAGTGGTCTGACTCATGAAGACAACGGATCTCCTTTTAAATGGAAGAGATGCACCACTGGAAGCTTTCAGAAGAGGAAGAGAGGAGAGGAAGTCTTCCACTCATTGGGAGTAGGATGGTTTGTGTGGACTGGGAGGACAGGCCATGGTTGGGTAGAAGGAGGGAATGGGGAGGAAGTGCTAAAAGCAAGCACAGTCCATTTATGTCCAGCCAGCTGGCAGCCACTGTCGAAGGCCTCGGTCCTCAGAGTAGGCTACAGCGGAAGAAGCTGGTTTTTTTCTGAGGCTCTGAGATCTTAACTCCATGACTGCTCCCCTGCGGCGCATTTCCCTCCTGCAGCAAAATAACGGAGACGTCACCGCTCTGTCAACTACAGCTGCGCATTTCAGTGGCTGGTTTTTGGAAACTTTATATTCGCCACTTTCTCACATTTTTTAAATACTACACCAAATGATCAAAAAGCTTATCTTACCAATTTTGTGTCCATTTTTGATTTGATGTCTCTGGCAAGTGTCAAAAATGCCTGAAAACCAGAACAAGTATTGTCACATTTGTGGATCTATTCAACATGTTGTCACACAAAGCAGAATTAAACTTCTTACGTTTTCCACGTTGATGTTGGCCTTTGCACTTGTCTCCATGAACTTGATTCCAAATTCTAATGCAAGCTGAAAGAAAACAGGAGGAAATTAAATCACAGTTGACAAATCTTTTTTAAAGTTATACCTATAACTACAATCAAAAACAACCCTCAGCAATACTTAAACTTCTCACCTTCTCCCCTCTGTCTTTGGACACCTGCCGCTTGTCGTTGATGTCACATTTGTTGCCAAGGACCATCTTTTCGACATCAGACGACGCATGCTTGATTAAATAAATAAAAACAACACTTAACATGGTGCAAAATCACATATTTAGAAGAGGTGAGAGGTGGTACGCACATAAAGGAGGTTATATCTGGTCTAGTAAATACCTCCTCTATATTTCTTATCCAGTTCTTGATGTTTTCGAAAGACTTCTCGTTGGTGATGTCATAGACGAGCATGATGCCCTGTAAAGAACAGTGAATCAAAAGAGTCAGGATGGAAAGAGCTCAAAAGCTGTGGCTTCATTTTAAAGAGTGGATTGACGTTTGTCTGTCAGTCCATGAAGATACCCACCATTGCTCCTCTGTAGTAGGCAGTTGTGATTGTTCGGAAGCGCTCCTGACCAGCTGTGTCCCTGAAAACCACCAGAACGGCAACGATAAATAAATATATACGTTAAAGGTCAATGTCAGGAAAGATCATCGGAGGCTGACTCTGGACCATGAACCTGTGATTTACCAGCGAGGACAGAAACTACACATACAGAGTGATATAATTGTGGAAATTAAACTAGGGACTTTGACTTTTGAGGCTGACAAGTCACATGTTCAGTCTTTTGAGGAACCTCAGCTTGAGAGAAGAACACTGACGCCACACAGGCATCTTCTCTCGTGTCTGAAACTCACCATATCTGCAACTTTATCTTCTTCCCGTCGAGCTCTATCGTCCTGATCTTGAAATCGATGCCTGCAGGGATAAAGGAGGATCGTGCATGTCATTCATACCGTTAGCTCGTTAGCATCTGGCTCTGACACAACAAAATGACACTTCATGCTCAGGGAATGAGCGGAAGCAGGGGGCTCGGGGTTCCGACGCCGCAGTAATGTGTGTATAAAAGGATTTCGGTGCTTTATAATGTTTAAATCACACAGTTACAGCGGGATATAGAACAGGCTTTCCGGTGTGTGCCAGGATGTAAACGGGGCCTAATAGCTGACGTCAGTGCTAGCTGTTAGCTTAGGAGCACCCGGCATGAAATTATAATAAAACACAAACATCCCTGCTTTTACATCGCGCTGACACGTAACACACAGAAACCACTATGAACACTGTTCACTAGTTCATCGTCATCTTAACATCTGATTGAACGAGAACAGCGGCCTCTTTTTCAACCGAATGACAAAGAGAAACTACTTCACGTCAGCATCCCAGCAAGCGCCCCAGCAAGTAGACGGAGCCCCCCTCAGTGTAAACAGACGGGGACACAGGCGCAGTCTCACCTATGGTTGAGATGAACGTGGAGTTGAAGGCGTCCTCTGAAAACCGGAACAAGACGCAGGTCTTCCCGACACCGGAGTCACCGATTAACAGTAATTTGAACAAATAATCGTACGTCTTCGCCATACTTGATGTTAGTGCGGAAATCCCGCCCGGCGCGGCAGCGATGTGGCTGGAACGGAAAGGACGCCCCCTGCTGGCGCGGAATTCACCTGCAAATGAAAACTACTGCAAACTACTACAATCTACTGCAAACTACTGCAAACTAGAGTAAACTGCTACAATCTACTAAAATCTACTGCAAATTACCGAAAACTACTGCAAACTACTGCAAACTAGAGTAAACTACTGCAAACTACTACAAACTAGAGTAAACTACTGCAAACTACTACAATCTACTGCAAATTACTGAAAACTACTGCAAACTAGAGTAAACCACTGTTAACTAATGCAAACTACTGAAAACTAGAGTAAACTACTACAATCTACTGCAAATTACTAACTGACCACTATCTACCAACTGTGGAGTGAAGTTATGAGTTAGTTTGGTCCAGTAGCCTTGACTTCTACTTCTAACTCGACTCCACCTCATACAACATATTATACAGATACTGTGTCTTCTACACATGCAGTTAATGTTCCAAAGCTTTATAGTCTCAGCTGCTGCAGCAATTCTGTATATGTATATGTACTGCATAAGCTACTAGGCTAATAATAACACAAATAATATTACGTATATTAATCGTACATCACATGTATGCTATATTTTGTACTTTTAATTCTAAAATTGTTTTAGTTTTTTTTACAGAGAGTTTGTTAGTCTGGTTGTTATACAGATAAACTGTGTCTATGGTTTGGATGATTCATGTGTGGTGACTCTGTGTGAAGTACAAACCTGTCGTAATTTACAATTTAGCTTATATATAGTTGACTTAAAGCCTTAACTGCTTACAGCTTCATGATATGCTATAGGCTTAATTTTTCAAATGTAACTCTATCTATATTTAAATGGAAAATAAGCTAATCTGTTACTGGTGTGGAAGTTAAGGCCCTGTAGCTTGGTATATGAGGAACTCACTGTCTTAGCAGAGCACTCACAGAATCACTGTGCATGTTAGTACATGTAAAATGACGAGTGAGTTGCCTCTCCCGTTTCAGTTCATGGCTGCGTGTTGAAACTGCCTGAGGGTCAAACACACACACACACACAAAGACATACGTGGAACTGTGCACAACCACAAGAAAGAAAGAAAACATGTTAAACTAATTTCATCGTCATCAGCTTTATTTGTGCTCAGAGTTTGGTCAAACACAATTTTCCAGCACCAAGACTCAAATCAGATGGACCCAAAACCATTTAAAAAAAAGAGAAAAGAAACATAAATATATAAAAGGGGTACATGTGTTTTAACAATCAGAAATAAGAGGGAAATGAGAGGGAATGGATGGCATGTAGAAAACAGGCTTTTTTTTATTTTTATTGCTTGACGTCCTTGATGGCTTTTTACAAGCTGTTCAGTTCCTGCAGTGTTTGGTCCAGGACTTGGTGCATTCCTAGGTTTTCCTCTTTTGCGGATGATAGTTTCTCTGCAATACAAAGTTAGCAGCAGATATGAAATATAACGGCTGTTAGTGGACAGGTTAGTTGATAAACATGCAAACTTAGCCTCAAATATTTACTATACATTGAAAAACCATATAACTGACTGTATAGCTGAGGTACAAGGTGTAATACAACCTTAAGTATTAAATGAGGAAAATGACAGTTGCACAGATTAATTGAAAAGGCAGAAGACAGGATAAAATAGAAACATCTTTATTGAGCTTTACATGAATGGAAAAGCAGGAAGGAGCAGTGAGAACAGAGGGAGAGAATAGATGAGGTGTTTCCAATCAGGCCAAGAGATACAAAGGAAAAGTGCAAACATTGTGGGCGATGCAAATGCCAAAATTTACAAGGTGTTCATATCATTGAGAGCATGATCCAGCTCCTCGCTGATAGCCTTGTATTTCAGCTTCTGAGTGTACAGCTCGTCTGCAGGCCGAGGGGCAGACAGAAAGCAGGTGGAGGAGGGTCAGAGGAAAATGCACAGTTGTGCAGACGACAGGAGGAAAAAGAGAGAAAAAGATGAGGAAAATTAAGAACATTAAAGATATGAACAAAGGTCGAGTGAAGAGACACGGCAGATCATTGCAGGATTGAAAGGAAGCATTAAAGTGAAGTGTACCTTCTAAGTCATCTATGGTCTTTTCCAGTTTAGCCGCTGTCCTTTCTGCAAACTCTGCACGGGTTTCCGCCTTAAAGAGAAACAAACACCTTATTAATCATCCAGATAAGCTTCTTTCTGAGAACAGAGTCTGAGCAGACATGAACCTACCTCCTTGAGTCTGTCGCTGAGGACTTTTATCTCCTCCTCATATTTGTCTTCTTTCTCAGAGTACTACAGAGACAGAGAAACACGTGAGGAATGTCCTTTAATTGCCCAAACAATACATTCCACCTTTTCAGGCTCCGCATTTAGGTTATAAATTACTTTGCACGTAATATAATATTTGTGTATTTTCAGGATAGTTTAGTAAGTTTTAAGCAGTTTGCAGACTGCGGAAAAGGTTGGGACAATTAGATCTCTGGAGTTTACTGTTTTTGTTTAGAATACATCGACACCAGCGTCAATTCTTATACTCTAAAGCTATGGAAACTCATCGTCTTCCAAAGCCGAGCTGTAAAGTTGAGCCACAGCTGCTGAGTGTTCATGTGTGACGGTCAAGCAGCTGATAGAAAACAAAGTGAACCTTCAACAGAGCACTTACCTTGTCAGACTGAGCCTCTAGTGATTTGAGGTTGTTGGTGACGTTCTTGAGCTCCTCTTCCAGGTCACCACATTTCCTGCACGGACAGAAACACTTTCTTTTTAGCAACAATTTCTGTCCCTGTAATCTTGGTAATAACCGAATGATGCCTGCAAGCCTGCATATAACCTCATCGGTGTGTTTGTGCTTACAGTTCGGAGATTTCTGCCCTCTCCTCGGCTCTCTCCAGCTCACCCTCCAGGATGACCAGTTTACGAGCAACCTGACATTAACAAAGACACAAAATCAAACACAAGATTACATCCGATTCATCACTCAACTGGAAAATGAATGTCGCCGAACATGTGATCTGTTATCTTACTTCCTCATATTTGCGGTCGGCCTCCTCAGCAATGTGTTTGGCTTCTTTGAGTTGCATCTCCTGGATCTCCATCTTCTCCTCGTCCTTCATGGCTCTGTTTTCAATCACCTTCATGCCTCTGAAGACGAGAGAGACACACAGCCTTTAACTTCCACTGGACCACAAGGTTCTCGACATTACTGAAGCAATATGGAATCTCAGACTCTTAAAAAATCCCACTCCGCCTTGTTTCAGCCGAAATGTTGTGAAGATGGTTTGAAGCTGCCCAAACAGCTTGTTGGTATTTATGTGATATTTTTCCATTTAACTGTCCATGTGGTTCTGTGTTGTCTGAGGTCGCTGTTCAACATGAGCTTTGAATTATTGACTTCTCAAGGGAAAATAAATATTTTCAGAACTAATAGCTCTGTGAACGTCTCCGCTCTGTGTGAGAAAAAGGTTGGGCCACTTTATCTGAGGTCAGGGTGGGAAAAGACATTTCCCTCTAGGTCTATAGCGTTTCATTAAAGCCTCTAAGTACAGGAAGGAAACGTAACAGGAAGAGAAAAGTGTAAATGTCTTTTAACACATAGTGGACTATGTGTCCAATGAGAATGCAGTAGTTTTTTTGACACACACCTAAAAAAGAAAATTACTTTAATTGGTAAAACACAAGTAAATTAAGTGTTTTCAAATTAAAGTTAGCAATCGTGGTAACTTTAAGTTGAGCATATTAAATTGTGTGTTACCCATTGAAGTATTTTTAAAATAATTTTTCAGTGCACAACCTCTGAAATTTAAATGGATGCTGCAGTTTGTAAACATGATGTTCATGCAGTGCACGCACTTTGACAAAGACTAAATTAACATTTAAAAAAATCTCAAATATGATTCATAGCTTCCACAGCCATAAAACCATCATTTTCTATTGGCTATAACAGTTTTCATCATGGTGAATTATTTTTCTTTGTTGCTTTGAGCTTGCTCTTCTGCTGCAGCTGCATACAGTCGTGGTGAACCCCCCCCCCCCCTGTGTGAAGCCCGCTCCTGACGTCACCTTTCGCTCTCATCTGCAGCCTTCTCTGCCTCCTCCAGCTTCTGCAGGGCTGTGGCCAGTCTCTCCTGAGCACGGTCCAACTCCTCCTCCACCAGCTGGATCCTGCGGTTCAGAGACGCCACATCGCCCTCGGCCTACAGCAACACAGGTGAAAGGTTAGCCTGGAAACATGCTCAGGAGAAAAAAGTGGTGTCAAGGGTGTTTGGAACGGCTCGCTCAAAACTGGCTATATAATACCAAATCGTTACCTTTATGTAAAAACTACTGGAGAGATTACCTCGGAACTTGGTGGAAGACGTGATATGATTACATTTTGGGGCAGATCAGGAACCTTTTTATTTTCCATAACATTGCAAGATTGTACCAGTTTTCCAGGGAATAATGCATTGATCTTAATGCAAAAAAAGTATTTAGCTGCAACATGAAACTTCACCACTAGATGTCACTAAATTCTACACACTGAACCTTTAAATCGAGTAGCTGGACTTTTTAAAAACATAAACCCAGCTATGTTTAACAGATCGCTTCTTCTGCTTCCTGTTTCCTGTGGCACCAGTATCTCACAGATGGCTGCTCTCTTCTTCCTGTGCAGAGCAGGAGGAAGGACTTCACCTCCCAGTTGTGTGTCAAAATAGCTCAAAGGGCGAGAGGAGCAGAGACAAACAGGAACAAGCTATTTCCTACAGAGGAAAAACTTGTAAAACTTTACCAGCCAACTATCCCTTATTCACTGTGAAGTGATAGTGAGGCGCTCGCAGTTTTTCTCGGTGTTTCGCTCGAAATGGGGCGTGTTGAGGTTAGATAACACAGCCGAACAAAAGTATGGAAAGGAATGTGTCTACATTGATGCCTCAATTTCCCATGAGCCTTTGGAACGACCTCATTTAAAACAATTAAACATAAAAAACGATACTTTCATAATGGGGATTCGTTTTGGAAGTTCGAAACCCTTTGTGTGACTGTTATTTTCTTGCACATTCTTTTCAAGCCACATCTGGAGGACGTGGCAATTAAGCTGAACTAAATGAATGAGGCCCAGTTCGGGTGAAGGGTGGATTAATCTCACTTTTTCACGCTCTTTCCGCTCAGAGTCCAGCTCCCTCTGCACATCATTGGTCCGATCATCCGCTTCATCGATCTGCTGCTGCAGCGTCTGGATTTTCTTCTTCACGGTCAACATGGTCCCGAGATCAGGTTTTTTTTTTTCCCTCGAGAGAGACTTCCAGGAGCAAACTGATGAAGTGATGAAGCGGCCCGACACGTGGGACTTTGGGAAAAGTTCGAGATTTGCGTTCGAAGTTGAGAGAAAAGTTACAAGATCCGACTGGAAAACGCTTTTTCCTGCTTCTCTTCCCTCTCAGGCAGGAAATCAGTGACGTACAGGGTTAGGATGGAGGGAGGAGGGAGGGAAGGAGAGAGAGAGAGAGAGGGAGTTTTCAGGAAATTTATGGCGAGATCCTCCAATCATGAGGAGTCCTGTCTTCAGATGACATCACAGGATTCAGGAGGGGAAGGGACTGTTCATCCACAAAAGAAGTGTATGTGTGTGTGTGTGTGTGTGTGTGT